TGGCAGTCATAGGGATCCTTGGAGGGCTTGTAAGATGAGACTTCCTTGTCTTTCAGACCAGCCCCTATTAGCTGGTCTTTAAGTTTAATTAGCCAGGGAGGAAAGTGGAAGTGGCTAAGATTAGGACATCGCTGTGGGTGAGGGGTCAGGGATTGGGAATCCAGTGGGTGGGAAATAGAAGGGTCATTGGGGTGAATGCTGGAGTCATGGCAGAATATAGAAGGAGGTGAAGACTGTGTTGCCTAAATTCTCTGTAAATAGGGGACAGTCCCATTATCCACTGCAGAGTAACAATCACTCAAACTTGGAGATGTGAAACAAGAATCTTTTTATTGTGCTCACAGGGTCTGTGCATCAGACAGGCAAGGAGAGCAGGGTCTGGGGTGGGGGGGTCCTATGAGGTATTTCATGGGGAGACTTGAACATCAGGAAGAGGCTTGGGTGATTGAAAACTGAAGGTATCTGGTGGCAGTACCAGAGGGTCACTAATTTGTCCAGGACAAAGTACATAGTGGAGATGTCATGACCCAGGTTGGGTCTTGAGCTGCATCCTCTGGATCCAGTTGTGCCTTTTCCCCTGTCCTTAGTAGCAGCAGAAACTTGTGGAGGCAAGGCCATGTCCGTGGAAGTCATTGTTCTTTTTAACTCATCTGTTCTTTCTTTATAAGCTTCTCCCTTTCACTTTATGTGTTTATTTTACTACTCATTTCCTAATGATTTTATTTTGATTATTAGCTGATTTATTTTCACCCCTTCTTTTTGGTAGCATTAGCCTTTTGTTCCACAAATTTTCCTTTTCACTGTACCCTATAAATTTTTGGATGAAATATTTTATTATCTTTAATTTTTTTTTAATTTTAATGGCAGTAATTTCTTCTGTTATGTAATTACGCATATGTATGATTTAAAATTTTCATTGTCTGTGTTTGTTTGTTACCAGTGATTGAACATGGGGCCCTTAAACCACTGAGTGACATTTTCAGCCCTTTTCATATTTTATTTAGAGATAGGGTCTCACTGTGTTGCTCATGGCCTTGCTAAATTGCTTAGACTGGCTCAGAACTCGAAATCCTCCTGCCTCAGCCTCCAGAGCTGCTGCAATACACCACACCCAGCCCCCACTGAATGTTTTCTTTAAATCTTTTTTCATTGACTTCTAACCTAATTGTATTATGATCAGATAACATGCTCTATATGATACTATTCTTTCAGTTAAATTTACATTCATTCCTATACATAATTTAGGAAAGGATTCTTTATAAGCCCATTAAACCAAGTTTACAAATTGTGTTGTTCAAATCTTCTTAAATGTAGGAATATTTTGTCTTATTTGAAATATGCATGTCTTAATTTCTCTATGTAATAGAGGACTTGACAATGACTCCCTATAGTGTGTCTTAAAAAAAAATTATTATGAGTGTACAGGTTTAGAATTTTGGGAGGTTTCTGGAAAAAGAAATCCTCCCATTAGGAACTCTTTGCCTCTAAAAGTGTTTTCCTCTATTAAAAACTCCATGTTTCTTTTGGTCTGCCCAGCATCCCTGACATATTGTCTCTGACTCTTTTCTGTTCAATTTTTTTTCATGTCCTTGTGTATTAGATGTGTCTCTTTTTAAAGGTATTTTGCTAGTGTTTTAGTCAGCTTGCTTTGTTGCTATGACAAAACAACCCGACCCCCACAATTGTAGAGAAGAAAAGGTTTATTTGAGGGCTCAAGGTTTCAAAAGTCCTAGTCCATAGATGGTGGCTCCATTACTCTGGGCTCAAGGGAGACAGAACATCATGGTGGAAGAGCATGGCAAAGGGAAGCAGCTCATATCATCATCAGAAAGCAGAGAAAGACTCCACTCTCCAGATACAAAATATATACCCCATAGCTATGCCCCAATGAACCACTTCATCTAGCCACACCCCACCACTTGCATCCAGTTGCCACTCAATTAATCCCATCAGAGATTAATTCATAGATAAAGTTAAGATTATGACCCAATCATTTCTCCTCCAAAACTTCTTGTATTATCTCACACGTGAGTTTTTGGGGACACCACATCTAACCATAACAGCTAGACTATTTTTAAATGACCATTGGGGTACACACAGTCAGTGCCTTAGAACACTTAGTATTCCTGGCTGTGAGATAAAGACTTCAAAGGATGTGAAAACATGGGTAAGGAAAAGAGAAACTGGCCACTTCCCTTTTCTCACAACCTTAGATGGAGATCAAAGCAGAGAAATTTTGGATGTGAAATAAAGGAAGGTACTCATTAAACATCCGACTTGGTTCATATGTGCAATTAGCATGCAACCTATCTTGTAAAATTCCCCCTGCTTGCAGGCACCCAGGGGCACATGAAAAATAAAATGTCCAAACTCTCTCCAGAGATTGATTCCTCTAAGTTCTTCATTTGGGATCAATAAACAGTATCCCTATGTTTCTGCAGCCCTGGGGTTGAACAGTGTCAAACTCAAAGTTTTACCTGGTAAATTAAGTTCATTGTCCTTGTTGTTACCACATGATATCACTATTCAGATCTGATGGTGGAGGGTATCATTCTTTTGGAGGGGAATGTTCTAAGAATCCAACCCCACCCCTACACAAGTCCCCAGTAAGACAACCCACATCCCAAGCTGCTTCTAACCAATGACTTAGCCCAGCAGGGATTTGAAAGCTCCTGACAGGAATTCTCATACTTCTCTAGTGGCTCAGGAACTCCCCATCTGTTTGGTTGAGACTTTCTTGTACCTTCTCAACCCTCTTACTCTTTCTCCCCAGCCCTCTTTCATTTCTTCTTTTCTTTTCAAAGATATTGAAGATTGTCATTATTTCCAATATTTAGTTATTCATCTTACTCCTTCGCATAATTGTATTTGTTAACTAATGTTATGCAATTGGTAAACTAAAGCTATGCACATCTGGAAATATCTTTATTTGGGGCTCAGTCATGAACAATAGTGCCTTTACATGCAGAATTGTAAAGGGACACATTATTTTAGAGGCCCCATGGAGACAAGATATCCTGGTGCCCATGAGAACTCTACTGTTGATTAGATCGTCAGTTCCTCATGGGTAAACCTATGTTATGAGCTGGTAACTTTTAAAATTTGTTTCTCGGTCCTTGATGTTGACAATTTCAGTAAGGTATGTGGGAGTGCTCACATTTGGAAACAGATGACTCCTTTCTATATTCATCAATTAGCTCTGTTCCATCAAGAAGTTTTGCTTCTGAAAACATCCTCGGCTGTTTTTGATGGATATTGAATACAGTTTTCCCCATCTCAGACTTCATTTTCTCCTTTCCTATTTTATCACTGCAACAAACTCTCCAAAACTTTGGGGGTAAAGCTCAGAGCTTCCTTACCTTATATCTGTACATCCCCAACTACCCGCCGGCATGAGAACATTTATATGTGAATGAATGAGGGAGCAGGGACTCAGGGTAGTTTCAAGGATTCTCCCTTTCCCAAAAGGAGAATATGCACCCTATCCTCAAATCAGGATCCATATATAGCTGACTGCAATCCAGCACTCTGTTTTCTTAAGACTCTTCCCTCACCTCCCCACATCTCCACTACAGGGGGAGAAGTCCTTGTCATTCAAGCCCCGGCACTCATTCAAGGCCATTCCAGGCACTGCGCATCCCTTTCTTTCTCACCCCAAACCACCAGCCACAGCCATTGCGCCTCCGGACACTTCTAGATACTCTGTGGTCGTGGAACTCGCCCCAATCTGGCACAGTGAGACCATTCCACAACTGGAGAGACTCGCATAAGACAGAGGGAAAGGCAGCTGGACCACCCGAGTGAAGAACTGGAAGACTCCCCAGGACTCTGCGGAGAAGTGGCTCCTGTGGCCAACGTTCGCTGATGAAGAAGGGGATCCCGGAGGGCGCTGACGGAGTCCTGGTGTAGGCACTGGACATATCGCCTTGCCAGCACAACAGCAGTCGCCCAGGCGGCGCGAATCCAAGAATGGAATGGTCTGGGCGCTTGGCTAAAGAGCCGCAGGAAATGGGGCGATCCCTCTGAAAGCCAAGGCTGTGGACAAGAACTCCCCTGCGCGTCCAGCAGGCTCCGGAACCCAGCACTGACCCGAGCCTGAGGAGTCGGCTGGCCGGGATCACCGCATCCGAACCACCAAAGAGGAATGGTCGCTGCAGTGCTGAAGGGTGGCAAGCCCAGTTCTGGCAAGTTGGGTTCCCAGTCCGGTCGTCCAGTTACGCCAGGCTCCGCCCACCTGCAAGGCCGTCCTGTTGACACTGGGTAGGGACACAGAGGGCCGAGGGACGCAGAGGTCCCGCCCCAGAGACGAGAGCCGCCCGGGAAGGCGGGGCCTGCAATCCCGAGGGCTCCGGGTCCAAGTTCAGAGCCGTGCACCCAGCGCCCGGACCGGTACCTGGCTCCTGGAACCCCTGACCATTGCTTCTGGAGAGACTAGGTGAGACGACAGGCGGGCGGGAAGCATCTCCCTGTCTTTGCTTTTACCCAGAGCATAATTCTTGAGTCCTGCCTTTGACTGCCTGGCGGGGTTTTCCCTTACCAATGTACCTCTGTAGTAAGCTCCCTCCTCCTCTCCCGAATTCTCTCTGGGTCCCATCTTCTCTTCTTTCTCTTCTCCGTGTCTCTTCCTGTGTCTCTCTCACAGTTTTTTTTCTCTCTCTCTTCTTTCTTGGCTATTTCCCCTGCCCTCCTATTCTGTTTTCTCTCTCTTCCCCACTTCCTTCCCTCTCCCTCTTCCCCACTTCTTTCCTTCGCACAAGAATTCTGTCTTTGATTTTATCCTATGTTGACTTTGAGGCTGCATTTCTTGCATCCATCCATCCATCCATCCATCCATGCACACTTTACTCCATTTATCGGGTGTGTTACTCTGTTATTCTCAGCCAGGCTTCTGCTGGACGCTGGGATAAGAGGCATGCATATCAGTTCCAGATTTTTTCTCCAACAGATTATTTTTTTTTTTTTTTTTTTTTTTCTCCAACAGATTATTTTCAAAGATTTGTTTAGTGTCTGTCAAGGGAAAAATACATAAATTATCAAATTTCAAGTCTCTTGAGCTTTAGGGTGAGTGGAAAGAAAATACCTGATTTTAGGGACAAGACGCTGAAAAAATCCTTTTCTTGACATGTTTTCTTCACTAATAGGCACAGACAGCAAGCACACCAGGAAGCTAATTCTTGCAGCATCATTTAGGGGACAATGTCACCCACTGCCTGCCTTCTGGGCAAGTTTTGCAGTGCCAGGTTGGGGGGAAAGATGGGTTGGGTTTCAGAGCTGGATGGTGGAAAGACAATGGGAGCCAGGGCTGTGTCCTTGAAGCCTTTGGGTGGGAATGGAAATAAGAAAGAAATAGTAAATTTCTAAACTAAATGTTTGTCAGTGCTGCTGGTGTAAAGCCATTAAGTGACATCAATGCTGCCAATTGAGACATTAGACATTTTATAACAATAATTGTGGCGGTTGATGTTAATGTTTTTATGTACATTTGATAGAAGAATCAAAGGGACACTATTTTATGCTAATATGAAGGATAACAAATAAAGAATCTAAAAAAGCAAATCTGATTCATTTTTGGAGAAAACAGTAGAAGTAATGGATGTTGAAGCCATTTTTTTGTTTCTTGCTAAAAATTTTAATTTCTTCAGAGACACAATTTCATTTTTAATATTTTATGATATATGTTATATATTCAAACACACACCATACATATATCATGTCATAAAAGAACCCTTGTTTGTTTTAAGAGGTTAATTACCAACTAAATCTTCTTAGAAATAATTTACTCTAATTATACTTTATTGTGATCTTTAACGATAATTTAGCTAATTTTACTTTTCTTTTTACACAGAACTGGAAATTTGGCAATAGGAAAATCACACAGAAATGAGCAGAAATTAAATAGGATGGAGGAGGATTTCAGAGTGCTTAGAATTTTCTCAGTTTATGTCACAGAATGTTTGACAAATTCATAGGCATATGCATGAAACTTTGATTTGGGAGACTTCTCTGGACTGAAGAGTTCAATTGCCTTTTAAGTAACCAAACTAGTGATCTCCACTGAATCAGAATTTCTAATGGGGGCAGTGATTGAAATGTTTTTTAAATGATTTAGAATCACATGTCTGCTTTGCTTAGCAGAATCTTTTTCAGAAATCAAAGAGGTGACAACTTTATATTTAAAAAAAAAGATAATCACACCAGCTTAAAAAATGCAAAGCTAAGCCTTAAGCTTTAATGCTTTAAAACAAGGACCACATAGATCCATCACTGCTTATTTTCTTTTATTAAATAATCTGTATCTCTGTAAGAATGTTGTCGTTCTTTCTAAGATGATGCTGTTGTTGGCATGTGAGAGGTTCTAACCAAGCAATCCTAAGTATAACCCGTGGACTTTACCCCAGCAGGATCTGCATTTCTTTTTTAATTGTATTACAAATCACAGCTGCCAGTTTGGGGGCTCTAGCTACTGCTCCTGCAGAGTTCTGCTTGATCCAATCAGGAACACCCTGAAGTGAAGATGGCCCCATCCTGATTTACTTCTAAGGAGACTGAAGCCCAGACTGGTTGTTCAAGATCCAGCAACTAGTAAGTGGCCAGGCTCAGCCTGCAACCCAAGTTATCTCCTGGAACCTGAGTGCTTAGGTGTTTGTTATATCTGCACTGTCGTTCCAGCTAGTCCCACTTGTTTGCCAGTCGGTGATGTTTGTTAGAATGCTGCATCTTATGTTAGTTTCTGGCCATCTTTGAAACACTATTTCATATTTGAAACACTCACAGAGCAGTGCCCTCTTTGAAGCACTGTCTTTATCCTCTGTTTTCATTAGCTCTACTTCTGCAAACTCTTGGGCACTTGAGTGGGTGATGAGATCACATGTACTCTTATGTGGGTCCACATGACCAAGTTGTGTTGGCACCAAGTCCATCCTCACTGTGGACCTGGGACTGGCTGTATCCTGACAATCCTGCACTTGGCTTTGCTTGAGCCCAGCAGGCATTGCTTCTTAGAGTGGTCCATCCATACCTGAATGTGGGATCTCTGGGGGCTGGGCTGGAAGCCCTCTTCTCTCCAACTCTGGCACCACCAGCCAATACCAGAAAAGCTGGAACAACTCTTTATTTTTAATTTTCTCAGGGTACCAAGGCCAGGGAGATGCCAAGACTGCCGCAGTCTGGCTGGGCACAAAATCTGCGGCACAAGACACATGCATATTGCCTTCTTAGTAAAACCCATGAACTCACAGTCCCTATGCAGAAGAATTTTATGCCTACCTATCCTCTGGAATCTTCCAAAAGGGTCTGAGAAGTCTCTCCAGAGACTAGAGACACCAAAGGATTAGAAGCACAGAAGATTTATCTGCTATTGTTTCTTTTAGCTAAAGAGAAAAGCAGACTCAACAAAGAGGAGCCTGGAAGTATACATGATGTCACTAAATCGGGCCTGTTTTTCATGCTTGAGCTGAGAGCACTTAGGGTTGGCCAGTTGATATGAGCAGGAGAGTACCTTTACAAATTTCAGGCAAACAAGGCTATTCAATTGTTTATCAAGGGGAAGGAGAAGAATGTGCAGGCCATTTGGCCATTCTTTAAACACCGTTGTATACTAGACCTTGAGAACTGAAAGAAATAGGAATGTGGCCATGAAATGACTTTAACTTTTGTCACATCACAGCCACATTTCTGTTATTCAATGGAATCATAACATATCTCCATACTGTGTGTTGAACCAAGCTCTTTAGAACTTTAAATATATTGATCCATCTAGTCTTTACAACAATTCAGTGAAGTGGGCACCAAGGTGATCCTTTTTACAGGTGAGGAAACAAAGGCATTGAGAAGATGAGCACCCTGCTAAGGTCACAGGCTAGAGCCTGATTGGAGTCCAGGCCTTCTGGCCCTAGAGCCCATGCATTTGATCTCTGTGGATATAGAGCTTAACAGTTAGTTAGAACTCCCAGCTAAGGCATAGATAGCAAGGTCATGTGAAAGAATGTGGCCAGAGCTTCCCAAATGTTAAAATAGTCTATCCAGAGCTGGGTAACAAGCACATGCTTTCCCCACTGTGGGCTGGGCGAGTCTTTATTCACCATAATGCACCTTTTGCAGCATGTATCAGTAGGAGCACAATGGTTGGATGCCTAGGAGGATTGGGAGCTTTAGAAGCAAGTATTCACCATGGTAGGAAAGAACAGGCATGGAAAGATACCCACCCCTGCAAACTTGGGGAGCTCAGTGTCAGAAAGTGTCCAAGAACATCACTTCTTGATCCCATGTTCTAAGCACTCTGAAAGTGGTTGGGGAGCCTTGGAATTCAATGAGTCTTTCAAATATGAAGAACATAGGGTGGTTCTGAATGATATCTGTACAATTCAGAGGGAAGTCTTGTTGGAGTCAGAGTGAAAAGAACCAAGGATGCAAAGAAGAGTCCTTTCTTAGGACACGCTCAATGATGGAGTGACAAGGACCAATAAAGAGTCTAAGGGCACAGAGCCCAAGATGAGCTGAGGCTATTGAAGAGAGATGAGAATAACAAAGGAACTTTTCATATTAGGCTGAGGACACGGAGAACAACGACCACATAGATCCATCACTGCTTAGGACAGCTGGTGTGTATGGGACGAGAAAGAGGAAGGAGCAGCTCTATTCTGCCTAGGGAACATCTGGACAGAGAATGATCTTGCAGGTGCATAGGATATAGTGGCACATATCCACAGGAAAGAAGAGCAAATAAGCACTAAACACTTTGTGAGTTGGCAAGGCTCCTGGCCCAAAGAACCCTCTGGCTAAGATATAGCATGATCTGGAGATGAGATCTCACATCTGCAGTGTTCATCTGACAGGTGTTAGGCATCAGGGAGATGTGGACAAAATCCAAAGATGGATCTTTTCTTTTCGCTTTCTATTTATTATTATAGATTCATATCCTTCTTTTCTTCCTCATCCTCCTTTTCTTCCTTCCTCTTCTGAAGATTTGGAGGGTGGAATCAATTAAGCATGAAGTTGCAGGATACCTAAACCAGTTCTTGCAGGTGTCTAGATCTACAAGGTCTGAAAAGCTGGAACACCATGATGGGTTTTTGTGAGATGGAATGTGGCAGGTTGGAGATAAAGGCACTTGAATTGAGACATGCAACCTCCTTCATGTGGTTGCTGTGAAAATTAAATGAAATCAAGTGCATTAAGCCTCTGGCATGGGTCACATGCAGCTGATAAACGGTGACTTATATATTTATATCATGAAGTATCCTGATAGCTGTCATTCTGTTCTTCTGCAAAACTATGTGTCCCCATTTTTAGAGCTGAGAAAAGGTAGTCACTTCCTGAGCTCAGGGCACACTGAATAGTTCAGGCATAGAGGCCAACGTGGTAGGACTCTCCTGATATCTTTGGTATTTTTTTTCTTTATCTGGTCTGTTCTAAGAAGGGGGCTTTCCCAGGCCTCTGACCTCTGATTTTATTTGCAAAGATTTCTTGGGCATTTTTTTTTCTTTTTCCTCTAAAACTCTCCTTTTGTTTCTGTGGTTCCAAGGATTGGATGCCTGTTCAGTTCCTAGGCCCAGTTTAGCTAAGGTGAAATTTCTCTGGGCAGCATAAACAGACCCCAAAACTGCTACAACATACAGCCATCCACCTATACCAACTGCCTTGGCTCTGAGGTCCCTTAGCTTCCAGGAGATTCCAGCCAGTGCACTCTAGAGTGCTCCTCCTTCCCAAGGGAGAATAAGGAATGGGAGGGAAGCTTACCTCAAAGGTGGTTTCAGAGCAGATAGGAAAATATTTCCCTTGAAGTCAAAATATCTTTTCTGGGCTGCAAATATACCAGGATAGAATTCTGGCCCAAAACAAGCAGGAAAGGACACAGCCCCCTTCAACATGGTTGACAGTTTAATAAAACAAAAGGTTAAAATGAGACCAACATAGTTTTAAAATATTAGAAAATCAAAAAAAATAATTCCTCCAAATTTCATTTGTTATATTTGGATCTGAAAATGTAATCCCACAGTTCCTGTGTCCAAGACTTGGTCCCCAGTACAGCAATGTCCACAGGTGGGGGCATTGTGGGAGTGATTGAATCATGAGAACTCTGACCTGTTAATCCACTGATAACTAAATGGACCACTGGAAGGTACTGGGTGCTATGGAAGGTGAGACCTGGTTGAAGGGACTGGGTCCTTGGGAACACGTCCTTAGGGAGTATACTTTGTCCCTGGCTTCTTCCTCTCCCTCTGCTTCCAGGAATTCCATGAGCTGAGCAGCTTTCATCCACCACACTCATCCGTCATAGTGTCCTGACTCACCTCAGGCCCAAAACAATGGAGTCAGCTGATCATGGACTGAATCCTCAGAAACCATATGCCAAAATAAACTTTTTCTTGTTTAAGTTGTTTATGTCAGATATTTTAGTCACAGCAACAAAAAGCTGACTAAAGCATCTTTATACTAAGATCACCATGGCGTATATTGTTTTGCTCTACAATATACAGTCATTCTTCACTTAGTGACAGCATACATTCTGAGAAATGCATCATCAGGTGATTTTGTCATTGGTGTGAACATCCCAGAGTGAAGTTATACCAACTGGGATGACCATGCCATCACTAAGGGACAAAATCTCATAGAACCACTTTGTACATATGTTCTGTTGTTGGCAGAAATACCACAAATGTGTTTTTTTAGTTCTTAACATTATAGTACGTTTCTTTTTAGTAAAAAATGTGTAGTTTTACAGTCATAGTTTTAAAATGAATCATTTATTTATAAAAACAGTCTGGTCCACTTTATTCTGGCTTCCCTCCCCTCTTCTCCCACCCCTTCCCTGGGCACTGGTCTCCGTCCTCTCTAACCAACACAGCTTCCTTGTCACCACTGTCACCGCAGCCCCTAGTACAAGCCAGTATTCAGGAGGCTCTCAGTGAATGAATAAAATAATGAATCAATAAAAAATAAAACTTGTAGTTATTCTGTATACTATTTCTTATTATTTCCTTCTAGGAGTTTTTCCTCCTTTGTTTTTGTTTTTGTTTTTTGTTTTTTGTTTTTGTTTTTGTTTTTTTTTGCACAGACTAGATTGCACCAAATATACAATCTTTGGTCCTGTTTTTTCTTTATCATTAAATCATAAGACTAGAAAATGTCACTTTCCAAAGTAGCGTGTTTCATCGTGTTTGTACATCATAATTTATTGACCATGTCTTTGTAATCAGGCATTTATTTGGTTGTTGTTTTTTGCCATTATGAATAATATTGCAGTGAACATCTTTGTTTTATTCTCTCCTTAGGCAGCTCTGACCCCTCGTCTCCTTCATTTAGCTCTGGTCAGAGTGTGAACAATCAAGCACCTGAAGAAAGGTTGCTTTCAGGCTGAGCAATTTCTGTGGCCCTCACCCTCACAGTCACTCTCAACACCCAAAGGCGATTCAGCATTTTTTCCAGTCACATCAATTAGCTGACACTGGCTGCTACTGGACAGGTTCTCACTGGAGGTACAGGACCAAGGGCAACAAGAGATGAGGGAATGGGACAGAGCTAAACACCCTTCGTGGGACCTCATCTTTTGATCTTACGTCAGACATGGAAAGTAAAGGAAGTCTTTATGCTGCCAATAGTGACTTCTGCCTTTGCCTGAACTGTGGAGCACACCCTTTGTGAGGACAAAGTAAACTTTTAACGTCTGCTAAACCCATTCCCTGTCACTTCATTTATTCATTCAGCAAAAGTTTCCTGAGTACCTGTCCTGTGAAGGCATGATTAGGTGCTGCAGAAGAGGAGAGGCATTTCAATCATTCTAGGGAGCTTGACTGGGCAAGAACACATAGAACTGAGAGGCAGCCACTGTTCGGGTGATCATGGATACCACCTATTCACATAGTGCTAGGACGAGAATGGGGGAAGTAGTAGAGACATGTGATCTAATAAGAAACTGGTTCAGAGAAAATTTAAGGAAGCCAACCAGAAGCAGGAAGGGTCTGTGAGGTGGACAAGGGGCACCTTGCCTGGCAGACTGTGAAGCAAGATAAACAGACCCAGCTGGCAGCCTGAGGAATAGAGGGTCAAAGTTAGAGCAGGCAGAGAAAGGGATGGAGTGAGGAACAAGAACTCCGAGGTCCACAGTCCTCCAATGCTGTGACCTTCTGATGCTGTGGCCTCCCCTGGGCCCTTGACATTCAGAGTTGAGGGAGCTGGGTTTGGAATAGGACCTGATGGTATGCAGCTTCCTCATGCTGGGTTTGTTTGTTGATAGAGGATCCAGAAAACCCTGGAGCTTCTGCCTCTAGAGCAGGCTCCCTTCCCTTTACCTAGAGCCTCTCCAATTATCAGCCTTCCTGTGGTCAATTACCAGTAGCCGTTTATGCCAGGAGTCTGCTGTTCTGTTCTGGGTGCTTTCCAGCTGCTGCTGAATGGTGAGCTCTGGAGCCTGAGATCATCGGAGTTCCTCCTCTCCTCTCCTCTCCTCCCCTCTCCTCCCCTCCCCTCCCCTCCCCTCCCCTCCCCTCCCTTCTCCTATTCTATCCTATCCTATCCTCAGGGGTGGTATGGCCACTTCTCCCATTTCATAAACAGTGGTGGGGGTCCCAGGAATCAGGTGGCTTGTCTGCCATCAGCCTGCATAATGTGGTGAATGACCACTGCCAGTCTCACTTCCTGTTGCTTCCTCTCTCGTAGAGCCCCGGGGGCTGAGTGTGTTTGGCCTACTCATCACTGGCAATTCTCCAATCTCCTGACTCCTTCTGGGAAGACCAGGCCTTCAAAACCCCAAAGCCCTGAAGACTGATGGCTGCTGGAGTGTCCACCTTGCCCAGCCTGCCCAGCCCCTGCTGATCATCATGGCTGCTGGGAAAGAGGCTCCTCTGAGCACTTCAGCTGAAAACAGATGGGGGATTAGTGATCCTGAGCAGAGTTTGGGTCACAAGCAGGTGCTGCTTGAGAAAACAAACCACCTGGGCTCCATTACTGCCACAAGCACTGGTGGCCTGGTTGTGGGTAGTGCTGAGTTGGCTGTGCCAACAGTACCAGACAAACCCAGACTGGGCAAGCCACTGCCCAGGAAGGCACATGGGGAAGAGAGGCAGAGTGCTTTCATGGACATGCCACAGCTCCATGAGAGACTAGGGGGTGACCAAGAGAAGGAGCACAAAGATGCTTCAGCCCATCCCGACCCTCAGCAGCATAGCCAAGATGTTCCCAGGGCCCCAGTGGGCAACACAGTCTCCTCTGTGTGGCCTGGCACAACCCGAGGTGAGCAGAGGAGCGCCTTCAGCAAACCCACCAAGCGCCGAGCAGAGAGGCCTGGGCCAACCTCCATCTTCCCAACAGGTGAATCTGCAGACTCCCTAATGGAGCTCTCAGGATTTTTCAGTACTCTAGATATCCCTTGTTGGGGTCGAATGTCAACTTCCAAGCTTGTGGTTGGTGATTTCTGGAACTTGCACACATTGTCACAGAATGCTCTGCTCTACAGCACTTTCCAGGGTGCCCCTGTGCTGTGGCTGGAGCATACCCAGGCCCAGGTACCCACATCTTCTACAGCCTCACGGGCCCTCCTGCCACCCACAATCACCTCCCTGGGCTTCTCCACCCAGAACTGGTGTGCCAAGTGCAGCCTCTCCTTTCGCCTGACCTCTGACCTGGTCTTCCATATGCGATCCCACCACAAAAAGGAGCATGTGGGACCTGACCCACATTCTAAGAAGCGCAGGGAAGAGGCCCTCATCTGCCCTGTTTGCCGTGAGTATTTTCGGGAGCGCCACCATCTCTCCAGGCACATGACTTCTCACAGTTAACAGGTGGCAGAGGAGCAAACCTAACTCAGTGATGAGACAGAGGAAGCTCCCTGGCCTGCCTCAAGGCCATCACAATACTGCAGCTCTGTTGTAATTTGGAAAAAACAGACCAGAACTTGTGATGTATCTTGCAAGAAATGAAGTCATGAAATAAAAGGATGCACTTTGCTCATACGGGCTGATGGGACCATTGGCACAGGGAGTGGGCTGCTTCTGGTTCTGCCTGTTTATCTGCATGGAAACATGTTTGGTGCACACATCAGCTTTGCAGTCAGGCAAATGTGCATTCAATCTGGACTCTATCATCTGTGAGCTGACACCTTAGCCATGTTCCTTCAATCTGCTGAGCCTCGGTTTTCTCATCTATAAAATGGAAGCAATAAGCCCTTTGTCTTATGGATGTTGTCAGAGTCACAAGGAAGGTGTAAACAGCAGTCTCCTCATTGTCTGGCAGACTGGGCACCTAGTACATGAGGTTATGCTCACTGTCTGCACTAATCAGCTTTGTTATCAATTAAATCTCAGGGCCACACTAGCACAGGCATCTACTTCTCAGCCGTGTGTCAATAGGGAGACCAGGGTAAGGCAGGCTCGGCTGGGCATGGCTCTAGGTCTCAGGATCAATTCAAGTCCATGCTTTTTTTTTCTTCTAGGGCAGATGGGCTGCCCAGAACTAACCTCTCTCATAGTGATGCCAAGAGTATGAGAGTGCAAGTCTAGATGCAGAGACACCTCTCAAGCATTTGCCTGCTTACTTCCCCTGAACAATGCAAGTCACATGGCCAGATCCAAAGTGGAGGACTGGAAAAATACACAATAAAGCTGCAACAAGGAAATGGATGGACTTCCCTCCACAGGAGGTGAAGAATGAGGGCCAGTAGTAGTTCAATCTACCACCCGCACTGTGGGTCTTCACACTGTGAGTATGGGAAAAGGGAAAAATAAAGTACATCTCATGTGCAGAAGGGGGCTGATGCTGCAGGAGCCGCCCTTCCCTGCTGCCCCAGGTAGAGCAGGAAAGAGGAACTCAGGGGCTCAGGGTGAGATGCATACTAGATACTTGGCATCCTTCTACCATGTCATCCCCAAAACAGTGCAAGATGTGGATACTGAATGTCCATCTTACTGGAGAAAGAAACTAAGCTCAAAAGGGTTTGAGGCTTTCCTAAGACCACTGCTGTGGAGTAGCAGTGTAGATAAGACCCAAGATCCCTGAGTCTGAGCTTCTGTCCTTTCCAGTCCGCCACAGGTCTGCTCAGCCCAGCATGGTCCCATGGGATTGTGGGTGATTCAGTAATCAGAACTTAGGGTTAAGCCTAGATTCCTTGCCTCAAATTTAAAATTAACCTTGCTACACATTCCCCCCACCCTCTCATTGACCTTCTTTTGAGCATTTTCCACTATCTTGAATACTAAGTAGTATACTGATTTATCTTGTTTATTGTGGCTTCTGTCATTGGTATGAAAGGACTGACCTTTTTTTTTTTTTTCTGTCTTGTTCACTGTTGCATTCCCATTGTCTAGAACAATGTAGGCACACAGTGGGTATTCAAAAGACATTTGTTGGATGAGTGAATGAAAGAATGCACAAATGAATGAAAGAAATACTTGTTCTGGCCTCACCCCCTGCCAAATATCAAATTGGTTTTGCAGGAGGGTTTTGGTATCTGTCAAATGGTGTGCACGCTTGTCTTTTTCTGGCTTATTGGTCTGACCCATGATTTCTGTAAAATCCACTTGACAGAGGAAAATGTCCCATCCCAAAATGCAGTAGACACTTGGAATTGAAAAGGACTTTAGATTTATAGTCTTCTCCTTATTTTGTAGCAGTGGACTTTGGGGTCCACAACATGAACTGATATGCTCAGTATTTCAGGGCAATTAAGTGGTGGAGAGGTCAAGGTTATAACTCTGAGGTATCTACACCTGTAGGTCATCCCTGCCTGCCCACCCCAACTCCACAAGGAACTTCTGCTATACCAGGTGGTAACTTGAATGCAATGAATAAAGTGACCTCAAATGTAATGATTATTAATGTAATTGTGACTCCACTATTCACAAGCAAGGGAGGCATTTTGAGAAGCTGTACAGTTATGAAGCAACACAACAAAACATCTTCCACCGACTCTCCTTTTAAAGATAGAACTAATGTTATTAAAAATAAACTTTTAAGATGGAGTTAGTCTTGGTAAAAATTCATGTACATACAAGTTGCTTTTCAGCCATTCAAATCAACAAAGATGATTTATAGAGGCGACAACTTATAGTTGATTAATGTGACAGTTCTTAAGTGTCACCAGACTGGTTTCCCAGAGTCCTTTTGGAGGTGAGATCCTCTGTCACCTCTTCCTTCCAGTCTCCTATGCCGATGGGAGTGAAGCCACTTGGACTCATGGTCTGCCTAAGCTCTCTCAGTCACTGCTGTGGTCTGAATATCCATGCCCCCCAAATTCATGTTAAGACCCTAACCCCCAAGGTGACAGTATGAAGAGGCAGAGCCTTTGGGAGGTTGGAATTAGTGTCCTTATAAAAGAGACCTCAGAACACCAGCGGCCCAGTACTCCATGAGGACACAGCCAGAAAGAGCCACCTATGAACCAGGAACTGGACCCTCATCAGACACTGAGTCTGCTGGCACCTTGATATTAGACCTTCCAGCTTCCAGAATTGTGAGCAATAAATTCCTTTTCTAATTTATAAGCCACTTGGTCTATGTTGTTTTTGTTACAGCAGCCCAAGCACACTAGGTAGCCATATTCCACACCCTAACTAAGAGTTGGTAGGTGATGTTGCTACACACATCACAAAAGCAGATATGAATTTTACTCTTCAATTCTGGGGTAAGATTTTTCACATTCCTTAAATTGTTTATAGCTGGCTGGGCACCCCTATCCTGTGGTACTGGTAGAATATGCATCCCAGCATTATCAAATTTTTCCTATCTCTCAAGGTCAGAAGTTTGGTGACATCATATGAAGCACTGCCCTCTCTCTTGGCATCCCAACGTGTCCCTATGCTACTTGGCCATCTTTGTCTCTATCCTCCAAGCTTGTTTGCCTTCTATCTTCCACTACTCTGAGGATTTAGGGCTGTGGTAGCTGCTATATTTTATATGAGTATCCCCCAAAAGTTCACAAGTAAAACTTTTGTCCCAAGTGTGGCAGTATTAGGAAGTGCTTTGGACATTTAAGAGACTTAACAAGAGATCCTTAGGATGTTGAGTGCCCCTCAAAGGGATTGTGGGAACCCCTGATCACTCAGTCTCTTCCTTCTTTCCTCTTTCTCTTTCTGCTTCCTGTTGATGTCATGAGACTTGCTCCAACATGTGCTTCTGCTGTTACCATCTGCCATACTTATCAGAGGGCCAAGTCAATAGGGTTGCCCAATCTTGGATTGGAACATACAAATTATGAGATAAATAAATAAACGCTTTCTCTTTATAAGTTAATTGCTTCAGGTATTTTATTACAGTAATGAGGAGCTGACATACCGTGGTTTTCTGGCAGAGTTGTGGATAGGCATGTAACGTAGAAGCCACTGAGTTGACAAACAGAAAGGTTTGACTAACTTCTTGGAACCAAGGAGGGAAAACAATTGGAAAAATGGTAAATTATGTCCTAATAAATCAACTCCTAACAGTAACATTCAATTAAAGTTCTCAAAATTAAAAAATGGAGCTAAAATAAAGCAATATGAATTCAGATGCAATTTAGTTTTCAGTTTTTTAACCAAGATGAGGGTTAATTTTTGTTTTTATTTTAGAGAGAAGTAAAATCATCACAACCCTGGGGTCTTTTTGCAGTTTGAATGTGAAGTGTCCCCGAAAAGCTAACATAAGAAGGTTTAAAGGAGAAATGATTGGGTTATGAGAGACTTAACCCAATCAGTGAATTAATCCTGTGACAGGATTAACTAAGTGGTTACTGAAGGCAGGTAGGGTGTGGCTAAAGGAGGTGGGCATTAAGAGTATGCCTTTTGGGTATATATTTTTTATCTGGAGTCTCTCTCTCTCTCTCTCTCTCTCTGCTTTATGATGATCATGTAAGCTACTTTCCTCTGCCACACTTCTCCACCATGATGTTCATCTTCACATTGACCCCTGAGTAATGCAGCCAGCTACCTATGAATGAGACCTCTGAAACTATGAGCCCCCAAATAAACTTTTCCTGCTCTACAATTGTTCTGGTCCAGATCTTTTGGTCACATCAGTGAAAGCTGACTAATACAGAAATTAATATTGAGAAGTGAGGTCATTGCTGTAACTAACCTGACTATGTGTTTCAGAAGATTTTGAAGCATTTTGGGATTGGTGGGAGGAATTTTGAGATCTCTAGCAAGCAATGTTTTAGGTTATTGTAAGCAGAGCTTGATGGCTGATTCTGGTGGGATCTCAGAAGACCAGAATGCAAATAGGACTGTGGACAGTGAAGACAGGGTTCAAGAGGGTTTAGAGAAGGAGGATCCTATTGGAAACTGGATTAGAGACCATTATGTTATGTTCTAGCTCAGAAGTTGTCTGCATTTTGTCTATGTCTTGAGATACTTATGGTGGCTTTTAGCCAAGTTTATATGACATTCAGGAGCAGAAAGATTTGAAAAACTTGGACTTGAAAGGTGGGAGTAAAACTGAGGCTAAGGACGTTTAAGTTATTAAAGACATTATGCCACTAAAGAAATGCTAAAGACTTTGCCCTGAAACTATAAGATGGCTTGGGAGCATCTCACAAAATGGCAAGACCATCTCAGACTCAAAGAAGTAAAAGTAAAAATTCTCTTGAGAAGAGAACAGTGGGGTCCCCTGCTTTCACCGGGTGACCTAGGAAGTCTTTTCAACATGCCCAGCCACCAAGGCCTTCAAAGGCTCCTGCTGCCAGCATTCCTGGAGGCTTGGCTACTGCCTTGGTTCAAGCATGTGGTGCTGGTTCTGCAGGAATGCAGGATGCTATAGTTAGGGGGTCATGGAGGCTTCCACCAAGATTTCAAACGAAGACCTGGAAGGCCAGACAAAATGCAGCAGGGTCAGAGTCCCTATGGGTAGCCCCTGAGTGAGCAGGGCATGAAGATGTGAGGAGGAAGTCAAAACTACAGTGGAGACCCCCAAGATTAAGAAATGCCAGTGAGGGAGCTATAGAAGGGCTCAGGCAGCCAGAGCAAGATGGTAAGTGAGGAGGTCAGGAGCAGGGCCAGAACAAAGGAGCATGGAGAGGGTCTTCTGATGGGGTCAACTTCCTGCTTGACAAAAGTGCTTGTGGACATAAGTGGGGGACCCAATCAGACAGACACTTCCATACTCATGGTCCTAAGTCAGAGATTCAATAGAAAAACTAAAACAGATGTGTGGATGGAGGGGGCAAGGATCAGTGATAGTGAGGAGTGCATGGAGAGGGGAGGAAATAAGGAAAGGTGGAAATCCCAGAGCCCAGAAAAAGAACAGACCAAACTCCCCCCCATTGGATTCCCAGCTCTGGGCCCCTTCTCTTCCAAGAAGTCTATGTCTGTATCTCTGTCACCTTACAGTAAACCTTCTTCTTGTTTGCTATACTGTTTTCTGTTCTCCAATTATTTGCTAAGAGACAACAAACCCAGGCACCACTAGATGGGAACCACTAGACGGTAGTACTGTGGAAGTTCCGCTGAGGAAGTCTGCAGGAATCCATCTGAGAAAAGCCAACAGGAAGGCCACGTGGGCTACAATCAACAGGGGCAGAACTACACAAGCCCTTTAGACAGAACATCACCATGCCATGTTCCCCAGTTGCTGAACAGGGAGCTATAGGACTTGTTTGCCAAGCTGGATTTTGGTCTTGCTTTGGTCCCATTCCTTCTTTTTATGCCCCTATTTTTCTGAATGGAAATGTTTACTTTGTGCCTTTGTTGGATACTTGTGAATTTTTATTTTTACATGAGCTCATGGCACAAGCTTGACCTGAGTCTCAGGCATTGACCGTAAACTTTTGGGCAATCTTGAAATGGGGACTCTTGGAAATGAACAAAATGTATTTTGTATTGTGAGATGGTCATGAATGTTATTGTTTGGATGTGAGGTGTCCCCCAAAAGCTCACGCAAGAAGGTTTAGAGGAGAAATGATTGGGTTTATGAGAACCTTAACCCAATCAGTGAATTAAACCCCTGACAGGATTAACTGAGTGGTAACTGAAGGCAGGTAGGGTGTGGCTGGAGGAAGTGGCGCATTGGAGGCAGGTTATCACCTCAATCTCTGAGGAATGTAGCTGGCTATCTATGGACTGAGATCTCTGAAAATATGGGCCCCCAAATAAACTTTTCCTCCTCCACAATTATTCTAGTCAGGTCTTTTAGTCATAGCAGCAAAAAAAAGCTGACTAAAACAGATCTTAAATTTCAATCTATTGCCAATTCCTGAATCTTTAGACCAAGGATCCTAAATGCACATGACTAGACGATTAAATCAATGGATTAGATGAAGATGCCTGGGCTTTGGAGTGACAATTGGGTTGGGAAGAGGGGTCTTGGATTATGGGGCTCATGTGTGTTAGGTGAAGAGTCCTTAGATCCAGGCTATCCCAAGTCTCATGAAAGGCTGGAAATCAGGAAAAGTAGTTGTCACTTGGCTCAACTGACTTTTTAAAACACTGATGGAGAGCAAAAATGGCAGGGACTCATTGACGTCAGTGGTGGTAGTGATAGGGAGGGGGCAGGAGCCATCAGCTAGTGACCCTGACTCTGTTATGCTCTCAGCTATTAAATAAGCCCTCCTAACCTCACCATGACCCCTATTCCTGGGAGCACAGGCAGAAAACATTTACTTAGAGTAAAAGACAGCAAGAGGAGCTCTGGACCAATCCTATGTCCTTCATCCCCTGGGGAAGAGGTGGTTCTCCCTGGAGGTAGCAGTGTATCTGTAGGCTGTGTCTTACAGGTTTCACACACCTGACATTTGGTGATCTTGTTTGTTCATTTGTTGGTTTTAGAAGTCATGTGGTAAGTCTAAAGAGCACATAGCATATGAGATCTGAAAGTCATAAAAATTATCTTTTAGTTTAAAAACAAGTTGTTCTCCAACATGCTTTGGCTTGGGACACCTCCTAGGAGAGAATTTTGGAAGACCAATTTTGAGTGGGGATTGGAGAGGCAGTTGGTATAGTGTGGAGAAGAGGGAGTCTTTAAATTTAGATTTTCTCTCCTGTTCCTCTTGTGTTTTTGTGGGGCCTTAGGTAGGAGGCCCCTGGCCTCTGATCCCCTTGCCATTCTAAGCTGCTTGGATTAGGAAGCTATTTTCGTTTAGCCACCTGGGTTAGCAAAGCAAGAGGTAGACAGTCCTTAGCCAGGTGGCAGTTAAATCCCACAGAACCAGGAGATGGGAGATGGTGCCCTCTTGTGGGAACTTGGAGTAGGATTTTGACCTATCACTTTCTTTTGACTGCAATCTAACTTCATGGGTAGCCAGGGCACTTGCTGACACACAAGTGGCCGTCTATTGTGTGTTGACATTTGGTGATCTTGTTTGTATCAGGGACAGACACAGGGACACAGGAAAAGGAGGGTGAGTGAGATGGGTGTGTGCTGGGGCCTCTCCTCTTAGGCTCCTACCCAGCCTGAAGACAGGGGCCCTATGGAGGTCTCCCAGGTGTCTCCTTCATTTTCCTTTCTGGATGGAACACATGGCTACACTGATCCCTGGCCTCTTCTGCAATAGGGAGGTTAGGCCAAATATGTAGCAATCACTTGAAAGTCAAGGTCACCTTTTCCCTGATGGTACAGGCATGGCTAACTCCTGACCAAGAGCAGTTGCCCATGGGTCTCCAGCACCCAGAGCAGGGCCATTCACCCTGTTACCCTGGCCCAGTGTGGCCAAGGAACAGATATACCCTTGAGAAGACCATGCCCACTCCCCATCTCTGTGGCTTATATCTGGTCCCCAGGATCATCTCTGGAACTTCTTGCTCTGCCTCCACTACTTGCCCTTATGGCTGGCTTGGCATCCTCGGGATCTACGCTGAGGAGGGGGCAGAAGAGCTGGAGGAGGGGCCAGTATGCCCTGTATTCCTTTCTCCACCTACTGAACCTGAAGTTTGGCTACTTGGAGTGTGGCCTGGGGCTTTGATTGAGAAAAGTAAAGAAGGCCTATCTTGCCCCATAAAGCTAGCTTTGAGTCCCATGAAGGCCTTTATAATCCATTAGTCATACACAGCAGGGCCAAATGGACTCCTGGGAGGTACACCAGCACCCCTGGATGCTAGGCCAAGGGAGCTGCTCCGGCTAATCCTGCTGCATCTTGACTGACCTACCTTTTCACAAGATCTGCCAGAGACAGATAAATCTGACCTCCAGTAGGAGTCTGCACCACAGAACAATGCCTTCCTGTGAGAGCCAGCCCCTGGTTGCCTTGAGATTGGGCAGGAGGCTGGGAGGTGGGGGTTAGGCATCAAGCCAGGACTCTTGACAAGGGAGAGGGGATGGCAGACTGCTGGGCAGCTATTGGTCACTTGAGTCAGCCAGCAGCAGAGACATTTGATGAGATTTTCTTCTTTTTCCCTAGTCTTCTCTGGCCAAGGAGGAAGCAATGTGAGAAGGTTTGTGTGCAGGGAGGCTGACCTTTTACTTTATTCTGTAGAACACTTTTAGCTTCTCTCTCCCTCAATTCCCCTTGCAGACCAGGCCCAAGGCCTCCTATTCATGATGTTAGGTAGCAACAGCAGGATCTTTGTGGCCAGACAGTTGTTGGTTCAGGTCCCATCATTAATCCAGCTGCTCTAGACTGTGTTATTTGAACAAAACAAAGTCTTCAGGTGATGGAAGCTGAAAGGGATTTCTGTAAAGATCCTGGACTATCCCCATCTGTGGTAGCAGGGAAAATGAACTACTCAGCCAGGGTCACAATTGAAGCCACAACCAGGAGCTGCCTATTGAGGATGTTGCTGCTGTCCTTGCTAAGGACAGAACATGGCGTTGTTGCCCCCCACATTTGTTATCCAGCAAGAGGCTAGGGGATTAGGTCAAATTTCCAGCAATCACTTGAAGGTTAAAGTCACTTTTTCCCTGATGGTACAGGCAAGGCTAACTCCTGACCAAGAGCACTTGCCCATGGGTCTCTAGCTACCCAGATTTCCCCATCACTTGCTCCAGAATAAACATCTTGCACAGGAGTCTCTGACTGACCGAAGTAGAACTTCATGCCCATACTCTACCATGGGCGAAGCTGGAAAAATGGGCTTCTAGACTGTTCAGCTTTGGAGGAAATGATAATAGCTAACATTAGTTGAGTACTGGATTAACTCATTTAATTTTCACAGCCTCAAATATAGTATTATATATCCCATTGAACATATGAGGAAACTAAGGCCCAGAAAGGTGAAATAAGATGCCTGAAATCACACAGTTAACAAAATAGCTATGCTGGTCTTCCCAGCCAGGCAGGCTGACCTGGGCTCTTAACTACTTCATTGCTTTTCAATAAATCTGCTTCCCATAAGCTCAAATGGGAAGCAATTCTCTGAACATTGACTGGGGTGCAAATACTGTGTGACCTAAAGGAGGACAAATGTCCACAGTGTTGTTTATGTAATGTTGGGTAAATTGGATAAGTTGCTAAGCTTGACTGCATCTCAGCTGCCTCCTGGGTGCCGGATGATGATGATCATCCATGCTGTGTGAAGCTCCAAGAGAGAACATTCCCAGAGAAGAGCTGCTCCTCCCCCCCCCCCCCCATTGAGATCTGTGAGATCTTTGCCTTCTGCCAACCCTACAGCATTTGACATCACTTTTTTAAACCCAATCAACTATCCATAAGTCCAGCAGTGTGAATCAAAAAAAATCCAGCAATGCAAAAGGAAAATCCACAAAAAGAATATGTGTAACCACCACTAGAGATCACTATGTTACAAGCAGGGGCTCAGTTTTACCATTAATTTTAATGTCTTCGGAATAATGACTGCTGCATCTGAAAATAATGACATGTGCTCATTATGAGGATTCAAGAAATGGAGCAAAGAATTAAGAAGATAGGCAAAAATACCATCCCAAATTCTGCCACCTAGAAGGAGCCATTGCTGAAATTCAGTTAATTTTCAGAGAGCCACTTATATATATGAAAAACAGAAAGGGGAAGAAAGAGAGAGAAGCACTAGAATTTACGTACATAAATACTGTAGAGCAGTCACTCATTCACCTGGAGAGTCATAGGTTTAGTGAGGAAGAAATTGAGATCATATTATACACGTTACTACTAAGAATCAACTGTTACACTTAATCTTATCTGAATGTAGAACAAGGAACTGCAATGAAATCTTGTCTTAGAATGGGCAGAGTATAAAGAGGTGAGTTTTATAGTTGCCCTGTTGAAATCCCTGAAGTATTAGTGAGGTGCTTGGCTTGGTGGTTTGCCCAGATTTCATATCCTTTGGGGGTCTCTGGAAGGAGCTAGGGAAGCAGGGTTGTGCCTGGTGCTCTGTGAGAAACTGTCTAGGGGGAGGTTTGTTGGTCTAGCAGAGCCTGCGCTGCTGGAGTCTGACTTGACCCTGATGCCAAGGCCAGATGATACCTGTGCATTACCTTCGCTGAGCAGTCCTGGGGCCCTGGGCTCCCAAGGCATTGACTGGGGGCTGGAACTTTCCTCAACACTTTCTGCTTCACCTCCACCAGAACTGTGGGCAGGGCCTTGGAGAGTTCTCACTTCTGAGTCCCTCCTCACTCCAGTAGGGCAGGGTTGTATAGCTCCTAAGACACCACCAAGGGCATCATCTTCCCAGGTCACCCCTGAGCTCCCTACATCCCTCCCTGGGCTCACTTGGTTCAAGTGTCTGAGGGATGAATGTGGAGGGCAATGTAATCTTGCTCTCTGTGCATCCTGACATTCACGTGTAATCGTTGTTTATCCGACATTTCTGCCAGATGCCCTGCTGGCTGCCAGGCATCAGAGACTAAGATTGAGTAGGACATTGCCTGAGTTTGAGGGCTACATAGTAGAAAATGACTTTTGAGCAGTGTGGGAGGTGCTCTAATGTCACGAGCCATCCATGGGTTGTGTGTGGGTCATCATGCATCGAAGCCTAGTGGATAGAAACATCTGGTGTCTGGGAATGACCAGTGACATTTCCTCTGGTCAATTACGCAGGGACATTGTGAATTCCTATCCCACACATGAGATGGGTGTGACCTGCCAGGATGCCAATCAGCCTGCTGACTGCAAGACATCAAGAAGCAAGACTTCACCCTTAAAACCTTATCCCAGCCTTTGATGTACCCCCTTAAATAAACCACCAGAGCCATCTTTCCTTTGTCTAGTTCCAGCACCCCTGTGGACTAAACCTATCAGGGGCTTTGGAAATATATTTCTGACTCCATGTTTTTTGTTCTTAACTAACTATTCTAGACTTTTATTTCTCAGGTGGCTTACACCTCCTCAGCAGGAAGAACCCCCACAACAAGACACTGGCCATGGCCTCTCTTACTCTAGCAGGGACAGTGTGCAGCAGGAGCCAGGCTCCTAAGCTTATGGCTTGTGTCATCCCACAAGGGAGTCACAAGCTGAGCACTAGAAACCTGGAGATGTCCTATAAGTACACACTACCTACCACATTTCAAAGACCTTGTACAAAAACATCATATTCAGTATCATTTCTATATTAATTATGTGGTAAATCCATACCACCCTGGATATAGTGGGTTAAATAAAATATGTAGATGGTCTCTGACTTACTACGGTTCCACTTATGGTTTTTGTCTTTGTAATAGGTTTATCTGGACATTAAATGCATTTTAACTTGCAATATTTTCGACTCACATTTTGCTTATCATGATATAAACCACCGTACAGGGAGGAGAACCTGCAGTATTAGAATACAGTTACAATTAATCACCTGTTTCTTTTTACTTTTTAAAAATGTGGCTACCAGGAAATGTGAATATCTTTCATCTGTGATTCATGTATTCTACTGGTGAGGCTGCTCTTGGTGACAGCATGAAGACCAAGGTACAGGGATTGGGAAGCTGGGTGAGAGAATGGATCTGGACTTGCCTGTAAAGGGGGTGAGCTTTCCATGGGTGGCAGCGGGGGGGTCGGGGGCAGAATCTAAGCAGAGAGGATTGGTGCAGTGATGAGGATGTCAGATGGATGAGCCCTAAAGGTTCCTCCTACTCTAAGACTAACCAGAACACAGGAGGTCTCTGAGCTGCCCCTGGAGCCTCAGGCAGACCCAGAGTTCTTACCCACCCAGAGCTCTGCCCATGGGGGTCCTCCCACAGACCCCGGCTCCACCTCACCCTCTCAGAATGTGCTGGAGCCTCTCCTTGGCTCTGGTTAGGGCCAGGTCTGCTGGCACCAGCACATGGGGTGTCACTCCTACTCCCTCCCAGGAGCTGCCATCTGCAGCTCCCACAGAGCGGGCTGTGGGGATGGTGATGTAGAGGTGGGTGTCGTCCACGTGGTAGGTCTGCGGTGGCTGGCAACCCCCACTGGTCACCTCCCCAATGACCAGGGCCCGGCCCAGCCTCTTCATTATGTAGGTAAATTCCTCCGCAGCACCAGCTGTTAAACCACTGGTCAGGATGATCACATTTTTTTTGGAGCCATAGCGTTCACCTGGAAGACAGAAAGCCCTTCAGGATGGGGACTCAAGTCAGGCTGTTGGGCACCTGCTTCTTTTGCACTCCCTGAGCCAGCAGTGAGGAGGGCCTAGGATTTAGTCCCGTGCCCTGTGTCTCCAAGCAAGCCACTAACCTCTCTGAGCCTCAGTTCTACATCTGAAAAATGGAGACAAGAGTGTGTATACCCAATCACAAGTATATAAGTGCCTGTGAACCCCCGCCCCCAGGGCAGGTGATGATGGGAAAGCCTTAACCTCCTGAGGACCTGATGCTTTCTCTTCCTGAAGCTGACCTGACTTCTTTTTTTGTGTTGGGCCCTGAGAAGAGTCAAATTTGTGGATGAACAAGGATACCCTTCCAGGACAATGCTGTCCAATAGATAGGTAACACAACTCAGAAAACAAGCTACTGATGTTATTTCAAGTTTTTTAGTTGCCCTGGTAAATAAGAAAAAAAAAAAGAAATTAGATAAAGTCAATTTAAATTATGATTTGTTTTATCTAATATATTCATAATATGTTCATTTCAAATGCAATCAAATGTATTAATGGAGTTTTTCACTTTCTTTCATCCTCCAACCCCCAGCCTCCCCTAATAAGTCTTCTAAATCTGGTGATGAGCCACATTTAAAGTGTTCAGCTCTTGGCTCTCCTAATGGACTTTGAAGTTCTAGGATCTTACGATATTCAGATCTGAGTCTGTTTTTTTTTTTTTTTTTTTGAGGATATAACAAATTTTTTATCATAGTTAAATACATAACTGGAATTTAATTGTGAGAATAAGACAAGTCCAAATGGAACATTCTATGAAACAATCGGCCTGTAGTCTTAAAAAACATCAGTGTCATGAAAGCCAAGAAAAGATGACAAACTGTTTCCGATTAAAGGAGACTACTAACTCCTGGTCTTGAATGTCTGTTTGAATTTAGAATTTATCTGGTTCTGATATTGATTTACAACTTGAAATATTATTAGATATATATTCCAGAAGCTATGGTGAAATGCATGTATAATAAGGAAGTGCAGGAAGAAAATGGTAGGCTGCTTTTCTGGTCATAGACATAGCCCCATTGGCCTCCAATGTCCTCTTGTGAGATGGGAGAACAGTTTCCTAGTTCTGAATGCTAGGTAGGGGAGAGGGAGGAAGCCGTCTACTCAGGAAGGGGCCTTTGAGAATTATTGTTCTATAATGCTCAGGGACTGCCTGAACATTCTCATTCTGGCTCTTTCACTTTTAACTGAGTGAACTCTTTCAAGATATTCAATCTAATTGACCTCATTTTCTCCTCTAGAGAAGATAGTATATGTTTTGCTGAGATTCAAGGTCATAGCACCAAGTGCATGAAATCAGGACAGCAGCTTTTATGTTCTTCCAGTTACTGTGACTTTTACCTAATGTCAAGTGGTCCTTCCCTGATTTTCCAGAAGCTTCTAGAATGAGAACAGGAAAGGGAAGTCTTCACGCACCTGCAAGACGAGTGTGGGTCCAGAGTTCACTGACAGAGTCATTGGGCCTGCTGTAGATCTTGTCAAGCAGAACTGGAGGGCCTTCATCAAAGAAGTAGGAGCACAGGGCAGCAATGGAGGAGGTGGGGCCACCAATGTTGAACCTGAGGGAAGGGAAATGGATCTCACAGGTAGGTCCTCAGGCTCCTTTAGGGCCTGGAACCTTAGTCCTATGGAGGGTTCTAATCCCAAGCAGCCTTGGTCCTTCAGAGTTCCATGGGTAGGTATTACCCAGAGCATTTCCAAGAGTACCAGCCTCTTAAGACCAAGAGACTTTGTGTCAAATACATTCAGAAAATACTGAATACCATGCCCTCTCCTTCTAATCGCATATTAATTCATTAAAGGCTCCGATGTGTCCTGCAGTTAGAGATTTGTCAGCAAGTTTCCTCCAGGTATTGACCAGGGACTGCTCCCCTATACCCACAGTGCCTACCAATGGAGCATATTTTGAAAAACATCATTATCCCCAGTTGCATTCTATGATAATTTTACAAAACCCCCCCAGATATCTCAGGTGTCCTAACATGGCTCTTAGTGTTGCAGTATACTCAGGGTTGTGGAATTACATCAGGAATGAGGGCACCTGAGTCCATCTAAGGGCATTTGAATTTGCCCCACTGTATGACCTTGCTGTTCCCCTACCTTCCCATCTGGGAGTCTGGTGATATGTCAGAAACCTTTTCTGGTCAATGGCTTAAGATGGCCTAGCTTTGTTCATGGCCCATGACCCCAGCATCTGAACTTCCAAACCTCAGGGACCAAAGGGTTTTCAAGTCAGTTCTAACTACAGGCGGAGACTTCCTCCTCTTTAAAATTGTTGATGACTCATTTAATCAGAAAGAGATTTAGAACTAAAGGTGGTTCCATTGTTCACTAAAGGATTTGAGGAATAAAAGGGTCAGAGGAACCCCAGAACCCCAAATTCCGGTGCTGGGCATGCACAAATGCACGGTGTTGGGAAATGATTTACCTTCAAGGGAGAACCAGCCTCGCTGGGATTCAGTGCCACCTAGTGGTAACTAAGAGCCATGTGAGTGTTGCCAGCTAGCAACCAGTAGCTGGTCTAGAAGTTCCCTGTCTGCTAATCCTGCCCCTTCTATCAAGGATCTGGGAGAATAGGAAGTGTCCCTGTCAGATGGGAGCAGGCTGCTCCTCCCAGGCCCATGGAGAGTGTCCAGGGCATATCCACCAATGGACTCAGGAGTCAAGGAAGCCTGGTCCTAGCCACTGCCTGAGGACTTTTCTGCTTCCCGGCTTCTATTCTGTGATGGGAACTCACTGCATGTAAGGTATGTTTTTGCTATGCAGAAGGGAGAAGGCTAGCTGAAGACATCCTTCCAACAACCATTTTGTGATGCAAAGAATTCTTTTTTGCAATGATAATGTTCATTTACAAATTCTCTCTGCATCACTGGCTTTCTGATTCTCATGTCCAGGGTTGATTTTGTATGTTCTGAAGCACAATCACAGGTATAGGATTCAGCTGTCCCTAATAGGACTAATCATCAGAACTACCTTAAATGCTTGTTAAATATACCAATTATGCCTGCACCCTGGGACTACTAACTCGGGAAGTCTGGAGTAGGGTCCAGGAATCAATATGTTTAATGTCCCCTGCCCTTCCCACCCCTATTGGATTCTTATAACCAGGAAATAAGTCTGGGGTAATTCTTAACCTGAAATACACATTGGGATTACTGGAGGAGCTTAAAAGAATTTATCAGTGCTGGGGCCCCACCATGCAATTAAAACGGGACCCCAGGGCTGGTTGGCAAGAGGCCCAGTTGCAAGGTGGTCTGGTCCCTGTCTTCTCTTTTTTGCATCATAGGGTCTTTTTCTTCCTTGCTACAGCCCATAGCTCTGGTGTCTTCTGGCTACTGTCTGGCCAGACCACTGGTTCTTGAGCTACTGACCTCATGTCGATAATCATGGCATCTGTGTGCACAATCTTTTTCCAGATGTGTTCCACCAGCAGCTCAGAGACCTGGGTGAGCAGCTCACAGTCCCCAAACATGTCAAACCTCAGGTAGCCAATGTTGTCCTCCAGCACATTAGTGTGGAAAGAAAACTTGATCAAGTCTGCAAAGACTTCTGGAGAAGGGATCTGGAAGAGTCAGAAGTCCTGTCAGTGTCAGGAGAGCAGCACATGGTAGAGCCCCAGAAAATGGGTGCTACAGGTTCCCTTTATGTCATGAGAAATATTAAGGGGATAGGAAGGGAACAAACATTTCTGAAGGAGTTAGCAGGTACTAGGGAATTGCTGTGGCACATCTGGGAGGTTGGTGAACTCAGGCCCAGGATGTGAACTCATATAAACGAATCAATTGATTCATTGATTGACAACCTCCTTCCAGAGAATACTCATGTCTGCCAACCCCACTCCCTGGTATCCAGAGCTGAAGGTCCAGGCATAGTCTCCCCCAACACTTCTCAGTGTCCCTGGGCTCATCTTCCTCTCTTCCACTCTGGCAGGGAGGGGAGACATTGTTACCTTTCCCAGGGGCCTGGCCTTGGGCTAAGCATTCTGCAGCTTTATCATCACCCTTATAGCCATTCCTTACAGGTTACACCATTACTGTCATCTTTCCCATAAAAAAAAAAAAAAAAAAAAAAACTGAATCACGGAGAGATTAAGTAAATTGCTCAAGGTTACATAGCCAGTAAGAGATGAAGCCACACTCTGAATCCACATCTAACTCCAAACTGTGAACCCTGGCTATGCTGGAAAACAACAAGCAGGCAATTTAGAAATTTGTAGTTCTGAAAGCCCATCCCAGGATCCCCCAACATGGCTGTACTTCTCTCCTTCTCTCTCCAAGGCTGCTGGAAGGTAGCACTCAATGAGGCAGGCTGAGGGCATGGAGCCAGCAGGGAGATCTGTGTGGATGGGGACACTGGTCTCTAGACCTGCCCTCCCCTTGGTCCCTCTCTGATTCTAGTTATACCTGACCTTCCTGCATACCCTCATGTCTTTCTGCACTGTGTCAGGCCTTCTCCAAGTGGTACAAACCTTCTCTGCCCCAGTGTACAGTAGTTGATGTTCCCAGGGTATTCTCAGCAAATGGAGGAACAGGAGCTGCTAGGTCCTTTCCACCTAAGGAGGAATCCTGTACTTCTCAGGGTCCTGCTGTCCTCTGCAGGAGCAGTCTAAACAATGAGCCCAGCTATCTACTCTCCTCCTGCCCCATCTCACTCCCTGCTCTCTCACTCCTGCTCAGTGACCACCTCCCAAATAAGCTGCCTGCACCCACATCCTAACTTCAGGCCTTCCTTCCAAGAGAACCAAAGCAAATGTCCTGCCTGTTCATAGTGACCAAGCAGCAAAACCCCAGTAAGAAAACAGTGAAGAGAGATGTTATAAGTGCTCCCTTTGAGGCAGTGCTCATCTAGTGGTGGGGCACTTGGTGAATCGCGTGGCCACCTTGGCCACTGGACCCAGCAGCCACACTCCCTCCACCTGTTTTCATGTTCTCCCAAAGCCTCAGTGCTGGTTTTAAATATTTCAATCACGGGGGTCTTGCTCTGAGTTTTCCATCCAGCTGGACCTTAGATCAGGCTGCATATCCACCCAGCACTTCTCCTTCAGGAGGCTGCACATTGCACTGTGGGAAGGGAAGAGATGAGCAGTAGGCTTCTAATGCAGGGGGGCTTCTGGGCTGTGTCTGGCATCCCTGGCCCCTCTATGGCCTGTGTCCAGGCTCCGTGTTTTAGCTCTGAGGCCACTGTGAGGCTGGGGCCACTGTCTCCTTCCCTGTCCCTACCCCCACTTCTCCAGCTCTACCCCAACTCATTCACGCAAATTGCAAAGCCCAGAAACAGGCAGTGGGTAGGGATTAACAAACTTCCACATGTCCAGAGGAGAAATCAGAGCTTGGGGACCTCTTTCCCCAACACTCATAATGAGAACCCCTGCAAATGTCTCCTTCTTCTATCCCAGGGGTTTTCAAAAACAGGGTTCTGGTGAGTAGTAATGTTCTATAGAAGGGTTTTGGTATTCCTGAGCTTAGGAGGTGGATGGAATGATTGGGGGGGGGGGAGACATGACTGAAGATTTAACCATGAAAACAAGCCCAGAAAAAAAAAAATTGCCTTGCACTGCACACAAAGCCCTGCACTAGGAGACTACTGGTGTGCTCACTTCCAGGACTGGATTAGGCCAAATCTCTCTTATATCTCACCTGCATAGGTACAATTCCAGGAATGCGGTCCTTTGCATCCTCAGGGATATGGGCTGTCTTCAGGTGTGGGTCCCCAGAAAGCAGCTGCAGATCAGCCCCTAGCATCTCAGCTAGGGACCCTTCTGAGGTCACCCTTGCATAGCGACTCTGGAGACCACTCAGCTTGGCAGCCATCTTGGCCCCCAGCTCAGGGGAGGCGTAGTTATCAGCTACAAGCTTCCCAGCTGTCTGCAGCACTGTGGGTACCTTGGCACGCAGAGCCACTATATCCTGGGCTGTGGAGAGGGCCTCGCTTGCGGGCACAATGATGTCAGGTTCCACACCAGCCAGGTCCCAGGCCTCACCAGTGGTGGCACTCAGGGCCATCTGGGTGGGCATGGAGGCATATAAGGGGCTGCTGCCCACCTGGTAGATGCCCACTGAGAGTGCCCCTCCGGCTGTGGGCTCCCCAATGACTGTGGCCCGCTGCAGGTCCTGCATGGTGTGAGCAAAGGCCTCTGCCGCAGACCCACTGGTGTGGCTCATCAGTATGTAGAGGTCCTTGTGGGGGTCGTAACGCTGCCCGGTAACCTGGGGCACCGTCCACATCTCCATGACCTTTGAGGTGGCCCTATCAAAGATGGAGTAGAGGTGCTGGCGGGGCTCTGCCTCAAAGAAGTAGGAACACAGCAGTGGCAGAGCCGAGGAGTAGCTGCCAGTGTTGTAGCGCAGGTCAATAACTAGCGCGGCTGTGTCTACCACCGGCTGCCACACCAGCCTAACCAGCTGTGGCCCGATGGCCCTTACCGTCTCCAGCTCAGCCATGGCATCGAATCGTAGGTAGCCCAACCGGCCAGGTAGCACCTCTGACTTGAACAGGGCCTCGATGAGGTAGGAGAGCTCCTCTGGAGAGGGGACAACAGGGGGTGGCAAGGGCACCTCCTCAGCCACCAGCTCACCAGGACTGTGGAACACCAGCAGGCGGTGGTCCTCAGACACTTCCTGCAGGTCCGCAGTGAGCTGCGAGGCCAGCGATTCCAAGTCCACGGCCGTGCGGTAGGCCCCATGAGCCAGCTTGGCTCGCAGCAGAGACACCATCTGCTCCACAACCTCTGGCCGTGCATAATGGGCCTCCAGCAGGTGCCCTGTGCCCTCCACCAAGGCTCCCAAGCTGCGATGGAACTCCAGCACTTCCTGGGCTCTGTCCAGGGCCTCCTCAGCCAGTACGATGGCATCAGGCACCACGCCGCCACCCAGCCAGCTCTCACCATGGTTGTCAATGAAAGTTAGCACTGGCACAGTGAGCACCAGACCTCCTTCAGGCGTATCCAGCAGTGGCACAGTGCAGGTGTGCAGCAGGCTGCCCGCAGTGATCTCGCCCACCAGAGTGGCCCAGCCCAGGGACTGCATGAGGAAGGCGAACTCCTCAGCTGCAGTGGCAGTACGGTGGCTGGTGAGCAAGTACACCCCGCGCTGGTTTCCATAGCGTGGGCCCAGCAGCTCGCTGCTGCTGAAGTGCTCCTGTGTGACATTGGTCCTGCGGTCATAGGTGGTGAAGAGGCGCACAGAGCCTTCCTCTGGCCCCTGGAAGTAGGACAGCAGAAGAGGCACCGCCGAGGATGGTCCCCCGGGATTATGGCGCAAGTCCATGATGAGGTGCTCTGTGTCCTGCAGGGGTTCCCACACTTGGTGTAGTACATAGGGGGCTAGTGCCCCCAGCACAGAGGCATCTGGAAATCCATCAAAGCGCATGTAACCCACGTTACCTGGCAGCACTGACACCTGAAATACAGAGTTCACCACCGCTTGCCGGGCAGCATCATCCTGGGGCAACTCAGGCACCTCAGGGGCTGCAACTAGGGTATCATCAACTTCAGTCTCAGGCCCAGAAGAGGTTTCTTTGGGCCCAACAGCCCGCACCACAAGCCTGGGGTCCTCAGACACAGCCTGCAGGCCGGCATTGAGCTTAGTGACCAGATCCTCTTCTGAGACCACTGCAGAGTAGTCCATGCTGGCCAGGTGGTGCAGCAGGGCTGGCACACGGTCCACCAAGGTATAGTAGTCCTGCAGGGCCTCTTGCAGATGACGGACAATACCAGGCAGGGCACGGCGCAGGGTGAGGATGGCCAGGGCTTTCTCCAAGGCTTGCTCAGCTGGTGTTCCCACACAGGGCAGCACTCCACTGCCTTCCCACGTTTGGCTGCCTCCACCCAGGGGTCCCAGGGACCTGGACACAGGTACAGTGAGAAAGAAATTGGACTGGCCTACCCTCAGCTTCTGGAGGTCCAGGGCACCCCCCTCAGTCCGCTCACCCACCACAATGGCCCTGCGCATCTGCTTGAGGATGTACGCGATGTCCTCAGCCACACCCCCAGTGCGTCCACTGGTGAGGACCACCACATCTTTGTCTGCACTGTACTTCTCTCCTAGAACCTCTGGCAGGGTCCAGATCTCTGTGGTAGTATTGGAGGGGCGGTCATAGATGGTATCCACATGCAAGACAGTGTTCCCAGGATTCAGGTAGGAGATGATATAGGGGATACCAGAGATGTGGCCCCGAGTGCAGTGTCGGAGATCCAGCACCAACGCAGAGGTGCCCATAAGCTTACTCCACATGTGTTCCACCAAGAATCCCCCAAGCTTGCTCAGCACTTCCTGGCCCGGGATGTCATTCACCTGCAGGTAGCCCACATTGCCTTCCAGGATCTCATAGTGGATGTTTGTCTGCAACCCAGAAAGTAGTTCCTCTAGTGTGAGGTTGGTGAGAGCTGGGGCTTGCTGGGGAGCCTCTGGAATGCTGGGCTCATAGGAGATGATCAGACGCGGGTCATTCAAGGAGTTCTGCATACCAACTGTCAGCACATGGGCCAGCGTCTGAGGGTCTGAGATGCTCAGAATCTCATCACTCTTCATGGCCTGCTCGATGGCTGCCTGCATCCCCATCAAGTTCTCTGGGAAGCAGTAGTTATCCAAGAGGATCTTGGCCATATCCAGCACGAGGCTCGGCTGGAACAGGAGCGTGGGGCCAGCCAGTCCATAGAACAGCATGGACAGGACCAAGAGCCATTCTCTCATGGTGGGGATCCCCAGGAGGCTTAGTCCTGGTGACCCAGGACTCCTGAACAAAAGCCCCCTTGACTGTGCAAGGCCAAAGCTCTGCTCTGTGCTTCTGCCTTCCTCCTTCGTCCTTCTCAGTAGGCAGACAGAAGGTCTGGGGCTCAACTTGGGAGCTGGGGTGAGGCTTCCAGCTCCAGTAAGCCTTTAATCCTGTCTAATTCAAGCGCAACGGCCCCAGGGACTGGAGAAAAACTGCTGGGGTGGTTTGACCCGGAAGGAACACTGTATCTCATCTTGCTGAGCAATCCCTGCATAGAATAACATAACTGCTGTTTATTTTGAATTCCTTGTACATGCCAGGCACTGTGCTGTGTGTTTTATGAACCAACATTTCCCCCCAGAGCCTTGCAAAGGAAGTTATGAACCTACAAATAAATATCATTCTCCCACTGCTCTGGGTGACCCAGGACTCTGGAATTGGGTAGATCTCTTTGCAGTCTATTCTGAGAACTTAGGGAAGTATCTTATTTATGATATAGAGCACATAAGTGCTTCTGTATGAAATATTTTGCAGTGACCAGCAAATAAAAAGCTCCCAATTATTGGTAAACCTGCTAAATTAGATATTATCCCAATTTTATAGCCAGATAAACAGGCCAGAGAGTAGTTCAGTAGCTAATTAAGTCTAACATTTCATGGGGATGCAGGGCCAGGGGTGGGGGTGGGGGCAGCAAATAGAAGCCAATGAGGCCAAGGTTGGCTCAGATAGTGCAGAGGTTAAGTCTGAGTACACCACCAGCCTCCAGTCTTGAACTTTATTCCTACCTCTTCCTAATGCCTCTGGCAACCAGGTATGTCCTCCCACAGCTTTCCAATGAGATGAATGACATCTCTGGACATCGGCATGGAGTATGGCAGCCCACCCACCTTCTGGGCTTCATAGGACCAGTGATTCCAGATCAGATGAAGTTAGCCCTGAGATCTAATAAGCATTATTCTCCTGGTTGAAGGAGACCCCCAGTTAATTAGTTCAGGGATCAGCCACAGCCTGCCAACTACAGGAAGAACAGAGTTATTGGAGGACTTGGGTCTCTGTGGTGCCAGACCTCACACAGAATACAGATCATTCTATCCACCTGCATGGAGCACCCCTGCGAACCAGTCCCAGCTACATTTCCTGGGCTCCCTGCTCCTAGATCTTCTCCTAGAAATAACACGAGTCTTGCTTGAAAATGACTTGCCAGTAACATATAGCAAAACCTAGAACTCCTGTTTGACAAGGCATCTCTCTGGGCAAGGAATATTTCTCTCTTTTAACAGACAAGACAACCATGGTTTAGACTTCAGTGGTGTAGCCTGGGAGCAGCAGTTGGAAGAGTCGCCTGTGGCTCTGCCCTTCCTGGGTCCCCTCAGCTTTCTCCAGGAAACACTTCTTGGGCTGAGTGGGGAGTAGATAGGATCCCATGTGCACCTCAGCAGGCATCCTGAGAACATGGTCCTGGGGACGGGGGTCTTTCTCTGCACAGTGGGGAGCCACAATCTGCTCTCTGGAAATTATTATCTCAGGATGTTTACCAAGTGGTTTATGAAGGCCAAAGAGGTCAATTAGCTAAAACAAACATATTTTTAGCTCATTAGGATTTGTTTAATGCCCAAACAACATATGGTCACATCTCTTCACCATTTGCAACCCATGGAAATGAGCCTGATTTGCTGGAAGAATCAGGCCAGAGGTGTGATACCATAGACATTGCCCTATAAAAATCACTTTGTTCATTTCCTCAGGTCCTATGGGAAGACTAGACCTTCTACTGTGACTCCACCTAGGAAACCCTACCTTGGAGCACGTGGCCCAGAACTCCTCCAAGGGCATTGCTCTGTCTTTGCTGGAGACGGGCCAAGCTCTGGACAGAAAAGCCTAGGGATACAGAAATAAGGCTCTTTTGGGGGAACATGTAGTACAGAGATGAGCTCTCCAGATAGAATGCCTGGAACTGTGGCTGGGCCTTGATTTGTGTGAATGGCCCAGAGCCTCAGGAGGAGGTGAAAAAAAGAATCAAAGTTTGTTACAAGTCTCTGGGGTGCCTGGGTTGGGCAGAGGCTGGGAAGACCGGCAGTGCTTCCGCCTGGGGTAGAGCCCGCAGCAGGTTAGAGGGCATGCTTTGTTCTCAGAGTTCTGGAAACTCTCCAGGAGCCTGAGGTGCCTGGCCTGCAAGTGAAGGGAGCTGTAAGCAGAAGGCAGCCAGCCTCCTTAGCCCACCCTGTTCTGGGCAAGTCTCCAGAGTAGGAGCTTTCATGGTGAAAGTTTGCAAGTGGTAAAGTAAATATCCATATACTTATTGTTAAAAGAAGGTAAACTTTGGCATAATAAAAATTTTGAGTTTATTTATTTGAACAGACAACAATACACTAATTGGACAGCTTCAACCCAAAGGAGCCCCAGGGAGGGCTTTTATAGGGTGAATGCCCAAGCAGAAAAAGGAAATTATTTGATTGGTTAAAGTTTGAGCTCTTGTCTTTGGAGTATCCCAGTGGGTAGTTCAAGACAATAAACCTGACGTTCAGTTGGCTACTGTGACTGGTGGAGCTTTAATTTTATTTTCTTTTAAATTAGCCGTGTATAGGAAATGGGACTGAGTTAGGTCTTAATTTGTTCATGTAGGAAGCACAGGGCATTAGAGCCACCAGGTCTAAGGACCTCTAATTTAGTTATTTTAATACTACCTACCTAGATTCTAGACATTTCTTACCCTTTCCTTAGTTCAGCTCTGCCTCTCTGACCCCACAACACACAAGCAGTGTATTTTTTAGTCATTTTAAGTTGAACTTTGTCTTTATTTTGCCTTTTTGTGTTTACTTTTTTGAAATCAAAAAAGTAAAAGGTACTAATTTTTACAAAAATGTGTAAATAATCTCTTCCCAAAGACTTTCTTCTGATTCAGATTTTTTTTACTAACCAGTAATAACCAAAAGGAGCCTTATTTCTGGTCATCTGAGAACATGGTCCTGGAGACTGGGGTCTTTCTTTGCACAGTGGGGAGCCATAATCTGCTCTCTGGAAATTATTCTCTCAGGATGTTTACCAAGTGGTTTATGAAGGCCTTCCCCAAAAGGAGCCTTATTTCTGGTTATCTGTATACCCACTAAATAGCTTTCTGTTCTCACTTGTCTCTGTATCATAGATGGAGACACACCTGAAGGAGAGACACACCTGTGGGTGTACCCCCACCAAATCTGCCCAGCCCAGGGTAGTGTAGAGAGTAAGCTGCATTTTGTTTTACTCACTTAAAACATACAGCATAAACATCCCTCCCACTCAAAGTCCATCCATTAAATTCATCATTTTAATGGCTCTAGAAGAGTTCTTGATGATGTGCTGATCTGTTCCCCTGGTGCTATGGTTTGGGTATGGCCCCTGGAATTCATGTGTTGAAAATTAATCCTCAAAGTTAGGTGTTAGTGATATTTGGAAGTGGGGCCTTTGGAAGGTAATTAAGATTAGATGAGGCCATGGCAGGGGGTGAAATAGAGGGGGAGCCTGGGATGGCATTGGTGGCTTTATGAGTAGAGGAAGAGGGATGAGAGTTAGCACACTTGCTCTGTCTTGTCATGCGATGCCCTCCACCATGCTATGTAGCAGCAGAAGGCCTCACTAGATGCTGAACAAACGCTGCTGTACTCTGGACCTCATACCTCCAGAACCATAAGCCAAATAAACTGTTCTTTATAAATTATCTGGTGTGTGGCATTCAACAGAAAAGTCACCTAGTGAGATATTTCAAGTAATTCGTTTTCCTTCTTTAATGACATTGCAAGAAATATTCTCATGGACATATTTTTAAGGGTCAATTGTTTTCTGTTTCTGTATATAAATCCTCAAAAAAGGGCTTCCTGAATTCAGGGTATATATACTTGTTTGTTTCCTGCAACATACTTTTCCAGTAAATTCTAAGTTGTATAATAAATGTGTACATTTTGTTTTTCACAACTGAATTGATATATAATTAACATATGAAAAACTGCCCATACATAAATTGTATAATCTGGTGAGTATTGACCTGTATATAAACCCATGAAATTATGTGATAATGTATATTACTTTCACCACCAAATTTTCCCCACACTCTATTAGCCAATCCACCCCACATCCCCATCTCTAGGCAATTTACTCCTTAGTTTTCTGTCATCAGAAAGTTTCTAGAATTTGCATAAATGGAATTATGCTCAGTGGATGCTTCTTGTTTTTCTATCTTCTCTCACACATTATAAAGTTCTCTCGGGTTGTTGAGTGCTCAGAAGGACAAGGGAAGAGGACAAGTGGTCTGGCCAGACCATGAACACCAGGGTCTGCAGCTGGCCCAGGGTTGGGTGAGGCTGCTTCCTTCACAGTGTAGTGGCACCCATCAACACACCTGACTGTAGAGTTCCTAGAGTTGTGGATTGGAACTGATGCTAGAAGAAAACACCCTGTGGGATTTCATAGATCTATAGCTCAGAAATCATTATGAGCAATAGTGCAGGGTTATGGACATTATAAAAAACAAAAACTTATTACCTACAGTCTCTATCATTTCATAAAAGCAGAAGAGATAGATAAGCACACCCAAAACCACATGTGACTTTAATGAACAATTTTGCTGCCCTCATCTTACACACTTTATCCAGAAAGAAACTTTTGGAAAATCTCTCCAGCCCCTTGTGGGTCAGTATGCTAGTCATGTCTGCCACAGCAGAGGACTCCCCACAGCCTCCATCAAGACGGCTCCTATGTCAGGTTCACCAAACAGATGGTGCTGCAGAAAGGCAGATGTTCACCTAGGCTGGGGGGGCATCTTTCTGATGGGCAACATCATGTGTTAATGAAATAGGTCCCCTGGGGACTGAATCATTCCCTGAATCAGCCTCCAGGGTGCCCCTGGGACTTGGAAAACCAAGATGCCAAACACACATTTGTATGCAGAATCAGCAACATTATTTGCAGGACTGACTGAGGAATGAAAATGGTGGCCCTTTTTTCAATAATTCTTACAAATGTCAAGATGGCCCCAAAACATTCAAATCATCTCAAGGCCTGTGCAGCTGCCCAAGCCACTCACCTATGCTCCTATCCATTCCAAAACCCTCTGAGCTTAGGCCTCTTGTGGGTGAAAGGAGAGCACAACCCTGAGGACCTAACCTTGAGACTCTCTGTGCCATTACAGATTGCATCTGGGCCTGCTTCAGAGGCTGGCCAGGCAGAGAAAAATCCCACAGAGGTGGACAGGCCCCAGGCTTTGCGGCTGCATGTCCTGAGCTACCACCTCCAACATGCTGACCTCATCTATAGAGGAGCAAGCAAAACCTCCTTTGGGGCTGCTATGAGAACCAGCTCAAATGATGGTGTGAGAGCTTCCTGAGTCCAAGAAGACCCATCTCAGGCACAAGTCATATGTATTCAAGTCATATGTGCAGCAGATAAAGGAAGAATCTGATGTCCAGAACAAGTAGATCTGGTTAGACAAACTGAATATAGAACCAAACCTTTAGCACTAAGAGAAAAAGAGCCTCTGAGCTGAGTGGGGCAGGGCCTCCCACTTCCACATGTGTTGGTTTGGCCCGCATGGGAATAAAGCCAGCCTTGGAAAGAAGAAGTTTGCCAGCTGATAATGAACAGGGATTTTGCCCCGCTTGCAAATCTGGTAAGCTTCTTGGAATGATAAAACCACAGTGTTTAGTGACCCTGTTAACAAAACTTATTCTGCAATGAGTGGTGCCCTATAGGTGTCCCGGATGCTCACAGGATCTTGCACAGTGGGGCAAAAAAGACAGTGCCCATGGAGGACAAAGCCTAAGGAGGATGGAGTCTGGAGTGGACAGTACCCAGGGGAAGGCAGCATTTACATATAAAATGACAGGTTCTGTCTGGTTTGTCTCCTTCATGCTCTAACTTTGATTATTGCTGTTAATAGGAACTTGATCTTGATCTTGAGGAAGTCTTGGGCAGCAGAAGTGCAATCCAAAGATTGTGGGCATGCTCTCTCAAGCTGAATTTCAGTGACAAGGTTTCCACCCTGTTATAATAAAAGGAAAAATCTTTGCGAACTGTTTCCAATGCAGCATTGAAAGTGGAGGTCAGTAGGCAAGGTGCTTTTGGGCCACATAAGTAACTAAAGGATGGTGATGCTCCATTGCGTTCTATGTCCGTGTGTGAACAATCTTTGAAGAATCCTATGCAAAGAATGACCCAGAGAAATGGAAACTAGAGAACACATCTTAGTTTAATCATTGCATTCTGTGTTTTTGCACATCTGACCATATCAGTTTGTCCTGTGCTATAGGCACATTGGCCCTGTGGGAATTAACAAGATGAGAGACTCACAGCTTCCTCTCCAGAAGAGTCAAGGTAACAAGTGGCACTGGGTAGGAGGTCAGCAGCTCCCCAGGGTAGGCCTGTTGCAACTGTGTAACAGAAGCACTGTAGCCCTACTAAGAGTAGAAAGGTGGAACTGGAGCCTCAACAGGGGCCAGGGTGGGTGACACTGGAGCTGGGGCCTCACTCACAGACACTGGGACTTGGGTTGTTTTTCTGGTAGTGAGGGGAAGGGGCAGGATGGTGTACCAAGGGCAGAGAACAGGAGTGGGTTTTGGGTGGAGTTTGGCTGGAGCTGGGCATATGAGCAGGGGTGTGGTAGACAGACAGTGGAGGAGTTGTATAGGCCTTTGGACACTGGGTGGAGATGAAGTGAGATTATTCATGTTTCTTAGAGCCATGTTCATCCTACTTTGATATATGGGAACATGAAGGAAGGTGAAGCAACTATCATCATGCGCTTGAGAACTTCTACACAGACAGTAGCTCACACCTTCACATGTACACACAGGCCCATATCTAAACACACCCACTCACTCCAATGGACAGACACAGCCACTCTTGGCCTACCATCCCTGTGGCAGCTCCATGGTCCTCCTCTCCAACCCCCACCTGGGGAAATTGCTGACACATATCAAGGCAAGGAGGAGTGTGGAGCTGGAGGATCCTGTGTCACATTTAGAAAAGGTCACAGATCAGACACTTGACTTTATTTCCAAGTGACACTTACACTCAGGCACAGAAACACACCACCAGGACTTAAAGAAATCATCACCCAACTGTAAACAACATTGCCATACCACACTGTCAGCACATACCACGAATTCCTATTTTCTCCAACTCCAGCAATCAAACAATAATGTTTCATAGTATTTTTGTGTTAAAGTCATTCATTGACTCCATGTAAACATTTAACACAAATCATTTCTTTTATTTTTTTTTTAAATATGAGGGAGTTGCAGTCAATGGGGGTGCCCAGGTCTTTCTAAGGCTCCTTCAGGCCCTGCTCTGGTCAGGGGTCAACAGGCCATGGGTTGGGATCTTTGTGACTCAAATTCTTCCTCATGCCATCCAGGTCTATATACAGCAAGGAGAGACAGAGCAGAGGATGAAACTCATAGGAAATGGAGACTCTATCCTACTCTGGAGCCAGTGGAGGCAGAACACCCATTACTCAAGAAAGCTGGCAAGAACAGTCCGAGCCAGTGGCAGCCAATAAGTACCAGATGTCTTCAGAGGCTAGGGAGTCCTCACCCAGGAAGGCTGGACATCTTATCACTTGAGTGCATGTCACCGAGGATTTAAAAATAGGGATGTTTTACATACTAAATCAAAAGCATACTTAATTCCAACAAATTCAAATTCTAGTCCTATCCTCTGTGGAATCATTTGGCAGGGGACACTCGTGGGTGCCTTCTGCTCAGTAGGGAACTGCAGAGGCTGAGACCATCAGCTGTCCCTCCCAGACTATCATAGAGTGATTGTATGAGCTCTGCACCAGAGAGTCAAAGTAGCCTCGATGCATGTCAGAGGTGCTACTGTCTTAAACTATCTTTCTCTATTCTGCAGTTGGTTTGGGTGTGGTTTCTCAGTGACTCGACGGTGGTATTATTAAGCATTTAGCCACAGAATGCATACAGGCATCACACAGAAAGGTTGTGTACCAGATAAAATGAGCAGCCCAGTCATACCAGTAAGTACCCACTGGAGCTCAGCTCGGCTTGTTCTCAATACTCCAACTTCACAATGTCTAATTGCACTTTCAGTACAGAGTGACATGCTAACCTGAATGGGAAGGTCCCAAGCTTTGTTGTCACACAAACTTGGGTTGAAATCCCTCCATTGATCAGGACTAACTCACCTGCCTAGGTTTTGAGATCTATAAATCAGAAGTCATAATGCCCAACACATTTGAGTGTGGGAAATGACACAAAATGGCTGGTCAAAGCTTGTTCCTTTTCTCTTCTCTCCCAAAGTTTATTGGAATAAGCCTCATCCTCCTTGACTTCTGTAATTTCTATAAATGTTTGCATGTCACCTGTCTATACTCCTCTGACTAGTTTCTGCTCAGATTTCTGCTCCGTAGTTTCTTATGTTCCCCTGTCATCATTTTCCTTCCATCCCAGCAGCCGTCCAGACTATCCAGCCGTCACCCTCCCCACCAGTAGGAGCCAGTGGTGCATACTTTGCATGGGGAGTGAGAGGGACAGCAGGCTCCCTTTCCTTCTCCAGGTAGCATGCAGATCAACTTATTCCCTGTCATACCCAGGGGACACAGGGTCTCTTATCAGAATCCCTATTCCCACCCTGCCTCCCCTAGTCCGGAGGGCAACCACTACCTGCACCCACACTCTGCCACACTCATCCCCTCGTAGTGGTACTTGAGGGTGGGCACCCCCATGTCATCCTTGTAGAGGATGGAGATGGGACTCAGTTTAGTGGGCACACAGCAGGCCTTGCCCACCTTTGTAGGGAACTTGAGATGCACCAGGGTTTGCACAATGGCATGCTTTGTCGGTGTCACATCATCGGCCAGGGGGAAGAAGCAGCCACCTTTACACTCATAGGCATCATACTCCTTGGGTGCAATGATCCAGCTGTCCCAGCCAATGTCTTCAAAGTTCACCCTTAGCGAGGTCTTCTGACAGTGGCTGCTGGCCCCTATGCTCCTCTTCCGTCTGGCTAAAGACAAACCTGTGACCATGTGGCCATCCACGTCCTCCTCTTCCTCCTCATCCTCCTGGTTCTCACCTGCCTCCCTGTAGTTTTTCTTAGGTGTCTTCCTAAGAATGCTCTCCTGCTCATGGCCAATCATCTCCCTAAGCTCCAGCCTGGTCTCCTTGGTCCCGTTGCTGCGGTCATTGGAGAAGACAACAAAGAAGGGAAGGTTTTTGGAACCTGGAGGGACACTGATGTCCAATGTATCACAGCCCTTCCTATGGCTTTCCACAGTTACCTCGAGCTTATTTTTGCTCTTTGTGGAATCTGCCCTGACCCATCTCTTCACAGCACTGGACACTTCCAAGGTCTCCCAGCCCTCATCCTGAATGTCCTGGGACACCAGAAAGGTCTTGGTCCCTGAGGCATCTTCTCCATCCAGCACATCATAGATGACCATGTTTCCTTCTAGCCCATGAGATGAGTCCACGTGATTTTGACAGGAGACATAGAGACGGAGCTCAGCCCTGGTGATTTGCTCATGCCTGGGGATGGAGATGTTGAAGAGAAGAATGTGTTTCTGGAATGGCAAGTCCTCTGTGGCAGTTGTAGACACAACATCTGAAATGCAAATACACCAGGGTAGATGTCTGTCTGCAGTGTCTGTTCTCATGACACCAAATCAAATCTCACCATTTGGACAAAACAACATCTAGGATGACAGATTTTTCTCTATTATCCCTATTCTATTTCACTTCAGTCCTTAGTAGAAGAGTGTTTTTTAAACACTGATTTAGGATCTTCCAAGAAAAAGCAGAGGCAGATGCCTCCAGTTAGGTCAACAGTCCCTACTATTTATTGAATACTTACTACATACCTAGCAATATGCTAGGAACTTGACACACACACACAAAGAAGAAGAAGAAAAGTTGCACTTTTAAAAGTTGCACTTTTAGATTATCTTCTATAGTCATCCCCTCTTATTCTCCAGGAATATGTTCCAAGATATACAATGAATCAATAGATAGGAAAGTATGGAATAGTATACAACTGTGTGTGTGTGTGTGTGTGTAATTCATAACTTAGACAAGGTAAGAAATTAACAACAATGGTTAATATTAAAGTTAAAATATAACAACTAGAACAATATACTATAATACAAACTATTTGGAACTTATAAATTGCTTCTGGAATTTTCTGCACTGCAGATAAGGGAGGACAACTGTATGTTCCAACATGTGTGAAGGCCTTGTGCTGTAAAAACACTGCAGGCAGGTGTTGGTATCTGATGAAATGAAATACCAACCCTCTATGCTTACCTGGGAAAGTTCTGAATCTCCCTGAGCCTCAGTTTTCCCTTCTGTAGAATGGGGCTCATCATGCCTGCCCTCCCAAGTGGTGTGAGGCTTTGTCAAGGTGACATATGGAACTTATCAGACACAGTCCCTGGCTCACAGCAGATACCTAATGAGTTCTTCTATGTCCCTCCCCTTTTACCAACTCATACACACTTCCTGCATGCAACGTATCACACGGTCTTCTTCCCTTCAGCTCTCGCTGGTCTCTTACCCAGATAGCTACTCCATTTCAGCCCCTGTGGGATGTGCTGAGCTGCCATGGCACATTGAACAGTGTGAACCAGGCATTCACAACCTAATGTGATCTAAATGTGGCATGGCTAGACAATGAATGTGGGGCCAGGATCAGAAACCCAGCAAACAAATTCCTACCTTCCCTAAGTTGTATCAGATGGAAGAGATGAAAGTGGATTGCTTCCCAGGTCATGCACTCTGTTGTGAGTATGGGTGTGTGAGGGGATCACTGACAGGGTTTCATGTGCTCGACTCCCTGGTCTGTGGAATATGGTGGGTTAGGCCCCAAGCAAAGAAGCCCATTACCCCCATAAGGTGGAGGTCACAGTTGTGTCCTGTGGACCTGGTGACCTGCAAATTTCAACTTCAAAAAACACAAACAAAAACTAAAATGAAGCCATGGTTTTAAAATCAGGAAGTTTACACAAAATCCAGATTTTTTTTTATGCTTTGGAATAAAAAGAAAATCCAATAACACTGAGTGATCATGTTTCAAATTATACTGTTTTTACACAGGCACATGCTCTGCAGACTGGGCAGTTCTGGCCTGGCCTGTCTGTGGCACTGAGCTGGGCCTCTTGAGCATTTGCAGGTCTCAGACTCAGTGCTCGAAGCTCTTTAGAAAAAGAAGCAACAGATAAACAAGCCAGCGCTATACAGGCTGCAGGGCCTAGGCCAGAAACCAGCTGCTTAACCTTTACTGTGGCCCTGACCTGGACAAGTTCAGCCATGTGAGCTTTGGCTTCCCTGTTCAGAAATTCATTTCCCCTAATCCTGGGATGTTGAATGAGTTAGCAGACTTAGGCTTTAAGTCAATGTTCATCTTCTAGCCTTCTTAGTCAGGGAAATTTATATTTAGAAGATAATGAGATTCTCTTCTCACACTTCTCTGTCAAAAGATTCTATCTGGGCTTTAAAAGCCCTTTTATGAGAGAATTATGGATTCCACCAAAGTTTTAAAATATAGCAATTAAGGGCTAAATCAGTTGTCTGTTTCTAAGTAGGAAAGGAACAGAAATGTTGGTGTGGGGGCAGATGGGAAGAGAAAAAAAAAATCCAGAAGGGAGAGAAAGGAAGAGGGAAGGGTAGAGGGAGGGATAGGGAGGGGTAGGAAGATAGCATCCCTGAGCACCTACCGTATTACAGGTGGCACGTGGCCCGGGGAAGGAGAATCCGCCAGAGCAGAGCTGTCCACTAGAACCTTCTGTGATGGTGGAAGGCCCTATGATTTGCACTGCCCCACAGGAAAGCCATTAGCCACATACAACCATTGAGCCCTGGAAACACTGCTGGTGAAACTAGAGAACTAAGTTTTCATTTTATATCACTGTCATCCATTTCAAAGCACACTTGAAGAGCTATATGTGGCCAGTGGCCACCCCAGTGGGCAGAGTGGGTCCACACTGTGGGCCGGTGAGTCCCACCCCAGGGCAGATGGGAGCAAGCTGACTCTACCTTCCACGCTGAAGCTCCGCACGATGTTGGAGGCTGGGGTGGAAGACTTGTCGGCGGTGTACCTGTTGTACAGGTCGATCATGTACTGTGGCGGCTCCAGTCTGGTTTTATCCTGGGAGGGGACCCCACTCAGGTTGAGGCTGCGTAAGAAATCCACCTTCATGTTCTCCAGGAACACCTTCAGATCAAAAGTGCCCTCCTGCCGCCCTCCTCCAGGATCTTCCAGAAAGTTGCGGGTGTTTCCCTGCGCAGACACCCTTGCCCAGCTCTGTAACGGCTTCCCCTGCAGGGAGCAGGCCAGCAGGGACAGTGTGGGCAGGGCCACCCACAATGCCCCAGGGTACATCTTGGGCCCTGTAGAGGAGACTGCAGGGCTGCCGAGGTGTGTTAGCAGGTGCGAGGAGGAGCCCTGGAGGAGACAGCCCGCATCGTCCTGCTGAAGGCTTTGCAGAGTGCCCCGGGGCCAGCACGAGGCTCTCCCCTGCCCTCCCCAGGCAGTCCTCCACTTGTTCTTATCTGGCTCTCAATGCAGCACTCCCAATCTCTTATCTAAGACAGCTCTCTTTTAATGAAGGCTCTATAAACATCTGACAAATACTCAGAGCTTGTGGGAAGGACACAGTCTACTGTAAAGGGTCTGCGTTTTTCCGGGGGGTTATTGCCCCCTAATTAGGATCCTTTCTCATTTCCTTGCCAGCTATGTTCAGAGGAATCTCAAGGCAGGATGACATATGCCCCATCTCCTGGGCCAAAGCAACAAAGAATCCAGGAAATGAGACTGAAAATCCTTCCAAATATAGAAACAACACAAAGAACCCAGAAAATGATACAAACTATGGGGTTCAGGAGGGATGGATGTGGGGTGGGGACCACATGTACGATTAGTCAGAGGCCTAGTCCTTGTAGAATCAAGACCTACCAGCATGGTACAACTGTTCCATCTGCCAGATGAGCTCCTGAGAGTCAGAGATGGAACATGAATGTGCAAGTGTAACTTAGTGTTGGGAGAGGACTTTGGAGCCAGAGAAGATGATGGTTTGAATCCCAGCTCCCTCACATATTTCCTGTAAGTATGACCTGGAGCAAGTCACTTTAGCTCTTTGAGCCTCCTCTTCGGAAGACAGCTGTTAGGATTAATAAGATTATGTGCTCCCATGTGGCAGCAATCACCACCGTCCCCAGCCAGTTAGGTGTCTGCCTGCAGGCTGCCACATTTCCACCCCTGGGTCTGGTTGATGTGAAGCTGAAGCAGGAAGCCTCATACCCACATCACCAACTGCTCTGCAGCAGCACCACAAACACATGGGTCCTACTGGACCAGAACCACAGCTCTGGTCCCAGCCCTGACACTGTCACTGGTCTGTGTGGGGGTGGGGGGGTATGGGTCTTGGCTTATCAACTGGGAGGCCACAGAAAAGACACAGAAAGTTCTGAGACTTGTACATGCCCAGAAATGGGCCCCTGGACTGGAGTTTCACTTAATGCAGCCCAGGTAGAAGCTTGCAAGATCCCAGGGACTGTTATTTTGAAAGGAGTGTGCCTACACAGTCTCTGTCCATCTCTATCATGTGTGGCATTAAATGAGTAAGGTCAAAAAATATTTGGAGTGTGTGTATGCTGGTCTGTTCTGAGGAGCATGGACCTAACTCTATTTCATGTTGAGGGTACTCCCAGAGAAAGGGTGCAAGAACTAAGAAGGTTCAGGGAGATGCAGGGGGCCAAGGCAGGCTGTGGTCAGAGATCTGAGATAGGAAAGGTAAAACTAGGAACCCCAGGTGGCCAGCCTGAACAGAACTTGCTGTCCCCATCCTTTGAGGACACAACCAGAGGAAGAAGGGAAATGCATAGTTTCAGAAATGCTGCTTTGGGGTGGGGCAGGAAGCGTGCTTGGGCCTTGGTCCAGCTTAGTTCAAGAATTCTGTGGGGCAGGGAAAAGATGAATGAATGCCAAGACCAGGTCAGAGCTTCAGCTGCAGAACACGGTGCAGGCTGGGAAGGGCTAGAGAACATGGTGGCAGCACCCAACATGCTATAGCCCTGGGGCTGCCCAGGACCCATCCACACTCAAGAGGCCGAGTAAAGACACAATAGAGCATGGTCTGGATATGCTCAGGGAGCCACAAGGGGCTCCTACAGAGTGCTATTTTTAAAATGTGAGAGTTTTTTTTTTTTTTTTTTATCATCTTTCATTAATGCCAGAGTTAACATTTTGAGTTCTGTAATCACCTATCTGAAACTCTGGTAGCCTAAAATTTTCAGATTTGAGAAATATGTTATGGTGCATAATACCCCAAAGGAATCAGAGGTGATGCCTAATAATCAAAACATACCAGTATTTCTGCTGTGAAGTAAATACATAAACATAAATATCCATTCAGATCAAGTTTTGCTATAGGAGTAAAAATAAATAAATTTTAGTACTTTAGATGGGTTTGTATTTGGGGACCTCAGATGAAAGACTGTGGACCTGTTTATGTAAGAGGTCATCATACCATTTATAAAAGCTTCCATAAATATATAAAATTATAATTATATTCAAAGTAATATAATTTACAAAATATATAAATAATATTTTATTTTATATAATTATATATTTAATAATTTATTACTGCCATGTATCCTACCTGGCCACCTAATGCTGGGTTCACAAAATCTGACTATTCCAGTAACTTAAGAAGATGTGAAGAAAGCACGCAAACACACAGAAGTACCTTTTCAATAATCTGGGGACCACTCTGAGACCTTAGAGGCCCATGGAAATAGAGAGCCACTGAATTCTTTATTCTTACATAGGGGACACACAAGGGGAATTTCCAAGGAACATTCTATCCCAAAAAGGCCAAAGGGGTAGAATTACAAAGGGACAGGTGAGTATAACTCAACCCCAGTGGGTGATGCCTACTCCTGGAGCCGTGCCTTTTACCCAAGCTGGGGTAACACCCAGGTTACTGAGACCTGGCACTACCATGCCAGACTAAAGGCAATAATTGTTCAGAACCTCATACATCAGGACTTAAAGGCATCTGCATCCAGGGCACCTCCAACAATTTACACTTGGAATCAGAAAAGTCAGCTAAAATCCTTAAACTAAATTTGTTGTAATTTTGTCTTTTAATAGTAAGTTAATGAACACCCACAACAAAAGCTAATGTGCATTGCTAACTGGGCTGGACTGCATTCTTCCTTATATTCATGGAGAGCCTGGGTCAGGAAAAGCTGGTAAATTCCTTCCCAGCCCCTATATTATGCTTTGCTGAGCCATGCCACAGAGTATGGACTTCAGCCTCCCAAGAGATAAAACTCTGGCCAATTCTCACCTGGTCCAAGGCCAGGCTCAGGAATCACATTTGTCACTGTCCAGAGAGAAGCCAAAGGACTCCCCAGATGCCTGGGAGCTCTTAGGAACACACCCTTAGCATAGAACCTAGAACATGGCGAGCATTCAATAAATAATCATTATTATTGCTATTGTCAATATAGTGCTTAGGCTTCCTATAACTGTCTCTTTCCCTACCTATGGGCCAAATTATCCTTCCCAGGCCTCACATCCTCCCTGTCCTCCTCTACCTGGACAATTCCTGACTGTCCTTGGGTGACAACCTAGGACTCCTTCACCATACAACCTCTGGGTTTTGAGCAGCTGCACTTTGCTGGATATGTCTGAGAAAACAAAGGGCCCTAGCGCTGCTGGTCTCCTGGTTTGAGCCGTTCTATCCTTGGAGGAGGAGTGTTCTGTGGGGTGTCCTGGCCTGACTGGGTTTGACCTGGCTGTTGCCAGCTTGGCCTTGGCTTCCATGTCTATTTGTGATGTCTAGGCAGTTTGACATTCCTGTGCGTGATGACTTTTAAACAAAGCTTTCATAGCATCATCCCTCCCAGGACTTGTGATTTATAGAAATCCCATGCAGTAGCTGTGGGATAATCACAGTTTATTGAACAGTAGAAGCAGATGTGGCTCATCCATTTATTTCAGGTTTCATTGAAGCTTTTTCTTCCAACGCAGTGACATTGACTTCAACCTTTATTCATGGAGGTAAGAAAGGACCTGCTTGAGTTTCTTGGAAATGGCTGCCCACAGGGTGTCAGGATCCCCTTCTATTTCAGGAGACATCATTGTGAGGACATTTGTCCCTTCTCTAAGCTTCTCAACACCCCACATATTGCTCAAAGGAATAAAAAGTAGATTCATCCTGAGACTGCATGGAGAGCCTGGGTCAGGAAGAGCTGGTAAATTCCTTCCCAGCCCCTAGGTCCCAGAGCCTGCTTCTATTTGGCACGTGATAATTTCAATGCTCTAGTGAACTAAGCCAGGACTGGCAAGATGGTCCGCCCTCCTAGTGTGCCCACCAGGAGGGCTGATCAAGCCACCTCCTACCTTAGATGTGCTGCCATCAAACACTCTACGCACATGCTGACACGTGTGACATTCTTACTCCAACAGCCAAGTACAGCCCTTCCTTCCTGGTTGAATCAAAGTCAGCATCTCTGTGGGGTTTTCTCCTTTCTTCCCTCTTCATACCCTCTCACCCCTACTCCAGACAACTGTCAGTTCTCCCATCACAGTACTGTCTTCATCCTGGCCACAGAAGCAGCATTGTTTCTAGGCATTTGATGAATCTCATGACATTTAATGAGTGACTCAGACATAGAAAGGCTCCTTCTCTGGTGCCTCAGACAAAATATCTGTTAGTACTAGGATTTTCTCAAGGAAGTGTTATATCAGAAGATTCTTAGAGTTTATTCAAGCCTTAAAGTTTCTGGATCTCAGTTGTTTTGTTTGATTTTGGTGACATGAACTGATCTGTAAGATGCTGTACCTTCAGGGATGTGGTCTAGCACCAGGTCACTAGGTCTTTTCTCTTCAAAATGATACAGGCCTAATTGAGTGGTCTCAGGGACCTGTGTGTATCTAAGTGGTATTGCTGGAATCTTCTGATTTTTGTGAAAATGTAGTGTTGATATTTTGGTTTTAAAGGGAAAGAAGTTACTTTATACATACATTTATTCTTAAACCTTACTGTGATGGTGCTCAAGGCCACTGGGACAACTTTAATAGACTCAAAGAAGGGATAACTTACCAGGAAATTCAGAGCAATAACAGTCTTCGTAGGCCTTGACTCAGGCAGCCTTGGGCATCAAACCTGTGGCCTTAGTAAGACATTAATGGATGTGTTACTTATCCTCCCTGAGTCTGTTTTTCTGTGTTCAATTGGACAGTAAGTTGGAAGGCTTCTGTGGGGCTAAATGGGATGTCACAACTAAATTTATTAGGGTCACTGATAACACCAGCTCCTTCCACTACAGAGTAGGGATGTATGTCATCTGTATGTCCCATTCTCCACATCTAAAAGTTATCATGGCATTTCCAAGAAAGATGTCACCCACTGAATACTGTCCATTCAGGCATAGGCTGAACTCCTGCCCTGGGCCAGATCCTTGGGCGTGTCTCACAGCCTACCCTGCCCCAATCCAGAAATCCAGAGACAAAGAATGAGAGGTGTCACAGGCATTAGGAGAATCCCAAAGATCTCTCAGAAAATACAAGTAACTGAAAGAATAAAGTGAAGCTATCATAGGTCACCCCATCTTTATCAAAGAGAGAAAGGGAGCAGTCTGGTGGGGGGGAAAATGAGTGGAGGAGGCACACAAGGGACTTAACATTTAGAAGAAAGAGATTTGAAGTCTTTTCACACCCTAATATCTTTACTAATTTTGCTATTCACTTATATCCTGCCATGTTCCACAAAGGATTAGACATGGCTAAGCAGGCACTAAATTTGCAGTCAGTTTGAGACATCCCAGCCATCCACAGCAACTTGAAAAGAACCATTTCATCCCATATACAGCTCCCGTGGGATCAAGGGGTAAGGCAGCCTTTGTGCAGAGCACCACCTCTCTGCCTCATATGATCTGTCAGCAGATAGGACCACTCAGCAGCTGGGCTCCCCAGGGTCACTTGGCATGCCTCAGAGAAAGGGCTCCACAAATGGGGCCACGCCCCACCAAGGTGCCTTTGGATTCCCCTTACCTACCAGTCTGCATGCTTGCTTTCCAATCTCAGTTATTCTACATCCAGTGGCTCTGAGTGTAGCCTTCTTCAAAGACTGCTGGGGCTTCCAAGACCCTGTGGCTACCTAAATAAAAGGCTGAAATCTGACATCTCCCCTCCCAGGGGCAGCCTGAAGCCAGGGAGTGCCACACATCCAGTTCCCTAGCCTTAAGGCTGGACTAACTCTGAAGCCTGATGCAAGCTCCAGAGTTCCCCAGAGAAGCCTGATAAATGTGGCTGGGATGTTCAGCCCCTTCTCTTCCTTCTCTTCTCTTCCTGTGTCTCCTGGAGCACTTCCTTATCCATCCCTTACATAGGAGGCCTGGCCTTGGGAGCTTCACTTATGATGACACCTTAGGCTGCTTCTCTGCTGAATCTCCTCTTAGACAAGCTCTGGCAGATTTACAGTCTATGTAGGCAAAACTCAGGGCCATGTCATTTTCTTAGATTCTGGCTGATGGCCCTAAAATGCACCTGCTTAAAACTGAACCCAGAATCTCTTTCAGAAATGCAGTTAATAGGCTTCGGTCACTATGGCTATAAGTAAGGCAATTCAATGCCAGGCAAAAGGGAGCCATCTGGGGACAAGGCTGCTGGGTGTTGGCCATTCTGTAAATATACACAAGGAAATCATTTGATCCGTCTAGTTATTCCCAAATCCCTGGACCACTTGAGAACCCCTCCACTTGAGAATCACCTCCCATGTAAACTACCCTAAGTAAGATCTCTTCTCATTGAAGGGTAAGACAATCGCAGAAGTTCCTGTCAATATTTCCCAATCAATGAAGGTCACTCTGAGATAGGGATATGAGAAAACTCCAGGTAGCCAGTGTGCCTGCAGAGAGTCATGCCCCATTTTAATGCCAGCGCAGGCTGGGAATTTGCATGACAGAGGGATTGGAGCAGGATCTTGGAAGGCCCAGGAGCAGTGGGGTTTCTGGAGCTTGGGACAGACATGGAGAAAGTACAGAGATGGCCTCCACCTATCTTAGAGGATGCTGTGTCTATAGCAGCCAACAGATGTCTCAAAGGTAGGAATCAATCTATAGTTAGAAATAGGTGACTCTTAGGTTTTTGAAATACCACTGTAACTTTAATTTATTAGCTTTCCATAAAAACACACAACACACACAATCTACAGTATACAAAGTATAATTTACAAAAATATAAAATCTTGGTTATTTTTTAGTATTTCAACATATTACTGTATATGTTATTTTCATATGCATGTTTAAAGAACCCACACCTAACCAGCATGATTATCTCTGTGGGGAATGGTGTCAAATGCCCCTCTTTGTTTTAAAATAAAATATATATTAAGAGAACAAAACCAAAATTGGTTATATGTGCATATGTATGTATAAAAGCTTTTATAGTAGAGTGTGAAACAAAACACTCATTCAGGCCCTGTTTCCCTATGTGGCCTGAAAGATTTTAAACTGAACATTTAAACAGAGATTCTTTCCATGTGAAGGGAGCAAGCACCCTAAGATTTGCATAGTCTTCTCAGGTTATGAGATGATAACACATAAAGCCAACACTGAGGACCTGTCCATTTTTGGGTCTTGAAAGTGGCAGTTAGAGCCAATGGGAAAACTTCAGGCCAAGGATAATTCCGGTTTTTTTTTTCCAGGAACTCAGGAAGCATTTAGGTGGCTAAGTCATTAGCAACAAAAGACTCCAGAACGATGACCAGATGGACAGACCTTTCTGGACCCCAGTGGGTTGTCTGTAAGCTCCGCCCTGCATCTGTAGTCACACACTTAGTCAAGTCCTGGCTCCAAAAGGCTCTGAGAATGCCGCTCTGCTGGCTGAGGAGTTGGTGCTGAGACTGCCTTCAACCCTTGGGCAGTCTTACCGGCAAGCACACGTCTCCACGGACATGTTGGGGTACACCTTCAACACCACGTTCCGGTTCTCATCTAGGAAGAGGACCCCAAGGGAGTTCATCTTATCTGGAACACAGCAGGGCTCTGGGATGCCAGGGACGATGCCCACAGCCCTGACAATGCTCTGGATGGTGGCATGGTTGGATGGGCGAACAATCTGCAGGGTGAGAAAGAAGCAGGGTCACCTCAGTGTTCTACCCTCTCTCATCCATCTTCCCACCAGAGCAGTCCTCACAGTGACAGACCATTGACCCAGACTCTGGAAACACTGACCTAGAAGCAAACATAAGTTCCCAGGGATGAACACATATTTCCTCTGAAATCAGGTATAAACAGTTCTAGGCTGAGGTCTGCAAGAACCCCCAGGCCTGTCAGCTTATTCCTGCAGCTGAAGTGATGTTGTAGACCCTCCCTGGCCACTTGGGGGCGCGAGAATGTCACATATCCCTGAAAGGCACCTGGAGCTGACAGAAACTGTCCAGGGTGAAAGCTGAGGGTATGGCTCAGTCAGCATTGCTTGGAGGGCCAGATGCCCAGACTTCACAGTCTGAGGAATATAGACGTGCCTCTCATGGAATCTGTTCTGAAGGAGAAGGCTGGGTTGTGTACTGGGGCTTGAAACTTACACTTCCCAGACATGCCTAAATTGGGGTGGCAGGTACAGTTTTACCATATCATCCCCTTCTGCCATCTTAACAATTTTATGGGGTGAATATGACTTTCATTTTACAAGTGAAGATATTGAGACTTAAAATGACTAAATTAGACATGACCCCTTGGTTAGTAAGTGGCCTGCCTCCATCTATGAATATAGCTGAGTCACTCAATTCAGCTCATTAATGACAAGAAGGACTTCTTAGATGAGGAGGAGGAGAGGCAGCAATAGCAGGACAAGGACACCCTCATGTGTAGGGTTATGGTTAGTGTGCTGGCTGGTGTCCCAGAAGGTGGGGAGGCAGCCAGTTAGGTAGATAAGGTAAGCATGAGGTCAGCCAGCTGCAAGCCTGTAGATTCTGGTCTTACACCTGTCCCCACTGGTAAGCCCTTTTAGCAGATCCCCTCTCCCCATTGGGCACTTACCTTCCTCTCTCTCACACATTCATGGCCTTGAGGAGAAACCCCTTAATTCCAAAATAGATTAATGTGGCCCCACATCTGTTTATGGGCTCTCCCACCTGGCTGATTTATTGAGGTTCAAATTGGATTTATGCACTGACTTCCTTTCTAGTAGGGCAAGCCATGAGGATTCTGCAGAGTAAGCAGGAGGAAACTGTGCTACGTGCCAGAGGTTAACATGGCCAATCCACTTCAATAAAGGCTACTGGAGGATGATGGACAGAATCAAACCTGGCTGGGATAGGGAGAGGAGGATCTGAAACTTCAGGAATGGCACAATGAAAGGATCCAGTGTTTGTCTTGCAGACTACCCTGCGTGTGCCCTAGGGAGAGAGAAGGAAGCCCACACTGGGGGGGCCACTGAGACTAGCAGCCAGCTGGTCACAGACAGCCGTGCCTGGGGATCCAAGCCAGGAACAGTAGGAAAACTTCTGCCAGGAAAGAAGCTTCTAGGACCTGTCTTGTCCACAGGGTACAGCTTGGACTCAACCTCTGTAGGTGGCTGCTCTGTAGGAGTGCCCTTCTGAAGTGAAGGGTTTTCCTGCTTTTCAGGAGAGATGTTCAGATTTTAAAATTCCAATGCAAACAAGAGAACACCTTAAAAAACCCAGACAAATTAAATATCTGTGGACAGTATCCACCCAGCAGATTCCCACTTGGCTCTCTCTGTTTACCTATTCTTTGCCTCTGTAGATGGGATGTGTTATTCTACTCATTTTGCAGATGATGAAACAAAGGTCACCCAGGCAGAGGGACTTGCCAGAGAATTGCCCGGCAGAGGGAGCCTAGCTGAGAGTTAGGATTAGGCAATAGGCAGAACACAGAGGAGGTACTCAAACCCATCCTACCTTAGGCATTGGGAACTCGCAGGCTCCTGCGCAGTAGTAGGCATCAAAGGATTTGGGCGAAATGATCCATTCGTTCCACCCAATGTCTGCGAAATCCACCTTCAGATACCTCCGGCTACAGACTCGCGGTTCGTCCCACTGTCTTTTCCGGGCTTTCTGCATAGTCTTTTCATCGAAGTCCAGCACTTGCGAGGAGGCCACGAACTCATCCTGGCCTTTCTTTCTGCGGTCCTTGCGCCCAGGCCGGGGCTTCAGCGCCCGGAAGGGGCTGGGCCATAGCTCGTGCTTGTGGTAGTACTGAGCGTGGGGGATGTGTCCTGGCCTCTCATCCAGTCCCGGCAGCTCATTGTCCTGGAGGGGCCCGGAGGCCTGCGCGGCCCGGCGCACACGGGGGTCCGCCGAGCTGTTGGGGGCTGCGCCGGGCTCTAGGTCTCCAGCTGGAAAGGGGTCGTATCTTTGCAGTGTCACTGCCACGCTGTTGGGCTCGGAGATGGCCAGGTCATTGGCGTATACAAGGATGTAGGGAATGTAGGGACTGGGCCTGGGAACCCCACGGTCCTTCTCCCCAGAAGCCAGCTGGGCAGAGAGGAGCAGCTCGCCATCCCGACGGGCCGCTTTGACTATGGAGGAGATGTCCTTGGCCTGCCACAGACCGCGTGGCGGGGGCGCCAGGGCCATGGCCCCACGAAGTAGCCCCTGCGTGGCTGTATTCTGTGACAGGCTGCGGAAAAATAGGTGCTGGCGAACTGGCGGGCCTGGTGGCAGGAGGCGACAAGAGGAATTCTTGGCCCGTGGCTTGCATAGCATCTCCCGCGCGCGGGGCCACCGCGGCGGCTCCAAGTAGAAGTGGAAAGTGGCGGTGAGTATTATTTCTGACTCTTGCATGGAGGTCAGGTTGAATAAATACACGGCCTTCTGGTTGACCACTTCTGCGCGGAAAAGACAGACCACAGCATGTTAGGTTCTCTCGAGGAGCACCTTGCTCACTAGGTCGCTCGCCCAGGGCTGGGGTGGTGGAACAAAGTCCACTGACCCAGCACTTCCAGGCAGGGGACCACGCTTTGCTTTACTCATCCTCTGCAATCTTCCTACTAAACTGATGGGGGCGCCCTTTGGTATCCTCAATGAACATGTGCAATTGAGATCAGCAAAAGAAGATTGTCACTTTCTCCTTGCAAAAGACAGGGAGGAGGAGGAAGGAGGGACAGGGGAGAGAGAGAGTGAAAGAGGGAGTCGGGGGAGAGAGAAAAAGAGGAAGGAAAAGAAAGAAGATGTTTTAAAAGAAAAAGTAGACAAAGATGGGCATCTAGGTCGGCTTGATCTTAAAGTTCCTGTTTCCTCACCTGTACTGCTTCTTAAAGAAAAAATAAGCAAGTGTCACTGACACCTTCATTAAGTGCTCAAAATGGCTTGGGCCCAGCCTCAAGCATCCCCTTCAGTTTTTGCACAGTCCTCTATGCTATGCAATCAGATTTTAATGCAATTTATATAAAATGTGATCATTCTTCAAAATGAGGTGAAACAAGGAGACCTTCACATTTTTCATTGCATTCTGAGAACCTTTTACAGGAAATTGAGGTTAAAAGCAGTTATTTGACCATCTGCCTTATGACTTTTAAGATTGTTTTACAACGAAGGAGCAATATAGGAGTGCACAGGTCACTCAATGAGGTTGCTCTCTGGAGGTGCATGTCATTGTAAGGACCATCACCACTCAACATCTAGTGTGGCCCAAGAATGTTCCAGCCTGTTTCCTTGGGGTGGCTGACCACCCTTTCCACCAAGTGTTTGCCAAGATCAGCTGCAGTTCCAGGAAGCTGCCTCAGCCTTGGCAGCAACATAAGCTCTCTTCAATAACCAAGTCCTCTTTAGGACTCAAAGGTGAGGAAGACAGTCTTTCTTGATGCTTCCTTCTGATGCTGAAGATCAGAGAGGCCAGGGTGGGCTTCCTTCCTGGGCTTCCTCCGTGTCCTTGCCACCAGTGTCTGTTTGTTAGGTACAGCCAGTAAAAGACCGGAGTTTCTAAACCCAGGAAGTATGTGGGGGAGAAGGCACTGGGATCCCCAAGGGACATGCAGAGACTACAATTATTTGACACCTGTATCCAGAAAATTAGCTGGGATTTTTAAAAACCACAACCATCAGTTTAATATTCTTTGTTTCTATTGGGAAGGAAGCATAATTCTATTGGGAACTTTCGCAGACTCTTAATGGACTGTGAGAGGAAGAAAGGAAGGGAGAAACATGTATGGAGGACTCAATAAGTACCAGTCAAGACTAGAGATGTCATCTCACCTAATCCTAACAACACATCCACAAGGGAGGTGTCACAGCCCCTCCAAATGCATCATTCATAAGAAGCAATGGTGGGTTTTGCTGCACATTTAAATTTGGCTTCTCCAAATACTGTAGCCTTGAGTATCATGGTCTTGAGTCCCACATTCTAACCAGAACCCCTGAGGTTCTGACTATGAGGAAGTTTGGAGAGCACCCCAGGTAGCAGGATGTGTGATCTATAGTATTCCTTAGCTGGAAACTTTAGGTAGTTGTCCCTGCTCTCAGCCACAGCTTAGGGCCCCTGAATTGCATGCATGCAGATGCATCCAGAGAGCCAGTCTGTGGTTACTCGTGCCTCAAGCCCTTTGACCATGGGTAGGTGAAGTTTACTACCAATGCAGCACCCACTCCCAAGCTAGGAAACATCCTGGGAAACAAACCCCAAGCCCCATGGAACCCTATCATGCTCTCTATCTTACTTTCCTCATCTGCCTCAAAAAAACAACAGAATTTCAAGCAAACACAATATGTGTCATATGCTGGATACAAGGGAGGTGTCCCCAAAGGTGGACATCTTTGTCCAGGAAGCATCCCTGCCACTTTCATTGAAAGGACAGAGAATGGCAGAGCAAGCCCCTCCTATACCAACTAGAGCACTCTCACTCACCCATCCTCATAGTCTCTGGGTTCTGACCCAGCTAACATAGCAAAAGTGTTTTCCTTTGATCTAGTTCTAGTCTTATCGCACTAATTATTCACTAACTGATCAAGAGTGGGGAGGAACCTCAGAGGTCATATAAGAAAGTAGAACTCCTACTTCATTCCAGCTTGAATGAATTTGGCCAGAGGGAGCTCATGCCTTACTGTACATCCACTCTGTGAAGACCCACCCTGCTGGGAACTGTTGATTCCAAACAGGTCTGCTCAACTGCAGAGCATGAGGGACCACAGGCTGACCTTTTTTCTATATGTGCCTATTTGCATACCATGCAGGAGCTCCAGACTGTTGCTGAAAGTAGGGACACCTATCTGAAGCTTTTTGCTAAGAGGTGCCCAGGCTACAAACGAGAAGCCCCCAAAAGAAGTTTCCATGTCTTAATAACTTTGCTGGTACCCTGTGGCTCATGTCTCACAGCCAAGGAGAAGAGATCCTTCCTGTATCCCTCTCCCTCTTTTATTATTTCTTCCATCCTGCTTCTTTTTTTTTAATTTTTATTTTTTAGTTGTAGTTGTACACAATACCTTCATTTTATTTATTTATTTATCTTTATGTGATGCTGAGGATCGAACCCAGGGCTGCACACATGCGAGACGGGCGGAGCGCTCTACCATTAAGCCACAACCCTAGCCCCCATCCTGTTTCTTAATAAGCATTTGCAAAATTCTGTTTATGACTAAGTGTCAGGCTTTCTGGGGTCCTGGAAAAGGTGGTCAAAGCTGTCCTGGATGAGCTCAGCTTGGTGAGGAGACAGATTGATTATGGTGATAATACACAACTACAGCACTTAGTCATGTCACAGCTTTACAGAGCACTGTCCCAAGTGAGGCCCTATGTGCTGGGAGCATCAATCACAGATGACCCCTATCAGAGCCCTGTATTGCCCCCAAACAAAACTCTACTTCTTACCAAGGCCCTATTTGATCTGACTTGTGGAGCTCTCCACCTTCATCACCTCCCTTACCCCATCCCTGACCGTCTTCCACAGTCACACTGGCCTTGTCCTTCCTAGAAGGCTCTGTCTCAACTATTCCTTCTGCTTTTGTGCTCCTCCTCTGGGTCTCCACCCCTATGGTATCCCCAACAAAGGGTACCCTTGGCTTCTTGGCTAATGAGCCACCATCACTCTGTCTACCCTCCACTTCATTTGTCAGAGCACTTCCTGACATCTGATACTCCATGAGGGCAGGAACCTTGCCGGTTTTGTTCTTTACTACATCCCTGCATCCTATCACAAGGCCTGGTGACAGTTGGTACTCAAGAATGTGTGTTGAATGATCAAATTCTTGTACATATCCTGACCAAGTGGCCTCTGCATTGTAGGAGGGCAGGAAGAGAAAGAAGGAGAGTAGGATCTGTCACTTCATTTAACACTTGAGGAAGTGGGGAGGGGCGCTCCTGGCCTGCTGCCCTGGAGTATAGTAAACACACCCTTAAGAAGTCCAGAAAGCCTCATTCTTCAGAAAGATACAGCTGATGATGCAAATATAACTGGCAACACTGTGTAGTGGGGTCTTTAGCCAGGGGCTTCCCCTTGTGACTCATTTTTCTCATTTTTAAATAGCAAATGCAGGTTGAATATCCCTTATCCAAAATGTTTGGGATCAGAAATATTTAGGATTTTGGAATATATACATATACATGAGATATCTTAAGGGTGGAGCCCAAATCTAAACACAAAATTCATTTGTGTTTCACATATCCCTTATACACATGGTCTGATGTTAATTTTGTACAATATTTTTAGTGTATCTATTTTGTTTTTTTTAACCCGGGACTGAACTCAGGGCCACTTATACCAGTGAGCCACATCCCAGTCCATTTTTGTATTTTATTTAGAGACAAGGTCTCACTGAGTTAGTTAGAGCCCTGCTAAAGTTGCTGAGTCTGGCTTTGAACTCAACAATCCTCTTGCTTCAGCCTCCCAAGCCGCTAGGATTACAGGCGAGAGCCGCCACACCCAGTTTGTATCTCTTTTGACTGGGACATGTCATATGAGGTTGCATGTGAAATTTACCACTTGTGGCATCATGTCAGTGCTCAAAACATTTTATAGTTTGGAGAATTGGGGATTTAGGATTTTAAGATATGGGACGTTCAACCTGTAACACTGTTTGTTAATTATGGAATTCTGAGCTCCAACCGTAAGTGCATGGCCCTATACTAAATATCCCTCATTTTTACTTTGAGAGGAGAAAGGATGGGACATTTATTCTGTGCACAAAGAGCTGGACCTTCAGAAAGGGTAGATAACTAGCCTAAAGCATTGTAGCTGGTAAAGAGCAGAGCCAGGGCATGGACCCAGGTCTGTCTGACCCCAAACCCACCCCCTTTGCTCCCCTTTGATCCCCTATGTGCTCTGGCTATAATCCCAATGGTGTGCCTAAGAGCAGAGGGACAAAAGATCACATGCTGTGAACAGCACTGTGTTTTGCAAACACAAGCCATTATCTGGCTGTTTTTGAGTTTTGATTCTCTAAGAAGGAAAGGACTGACCTTACTTGCACAAGCCGATCTTTCTGTAGATCTCTGAAATTCTCAGGACCCTGACCACTCAGACTCCTTCCTGAGGTCAATGAAATTGGAACAGATTCCTTCCTGGCAACACTCAAGCCAAAAGCAGCCCCTTGGATGGCTCTACAAAAAAACGGAATCCAAGCCACCTGGAAATCTGTCCCTGCACTGCCCCTGAAACAGACATCAGAGTGACAAGAGTAAGAACACTGAACCGAAGGGTATAAGCTTCAACACAAGAGGGAAGCGGAAGCAGTGGGCCAGCTCATGGGCTGCAGAGAAAAGAGGGGGAACTGGCAGGTACTGAGTGCCTGGTGTCTAGTTCCATGCAGGTTCCAGGAGCAGTGTTTAACTCCTCCTTGAATCATTTACTAGCTGTGGATCTTAGGCAAGTCATGAAACTTCTCTTTACCTCAGTTT